TCTATAGACTTTAACAGTCTTTAGTCTGTACCTTCCATCTGAGGAGGGGACTGCTGAGCTGAGTGCATGTAGAGACGTGATGTGGATTTGTGGTTTTTTTATTTTGATGCTTATAGATAGATCAATAGATAGATACTTTATTGATCCCCGTAGGAGAAATTCAGGTGTCCAGTAGCAGCAAATATAAAAAATAAAATGGATCATTCTCAAAAGTTAGAAATAGCTACCAGTAAAAAGTACACCCATGCATCATAAGGCTTTGACTTAATTGCCCACTCTGACTGGGGAGCACATCTGCCCCCAAAACACAGAACTCAGTTTCAGAGTTGAAGTATTTCAGAATCAGATTCTTCACATAACACATAATTGTGTATGCATCTATAGATGGATACTTCCGGCGCCAGCTCCCGCTGTGCAGCTCGTCACTTTGGTTCTCTTCTCTTTCCGACCCTTTCTCTATTTATTTCTTGTAGATGTGCTTTTTTATTTTTTATTTTCGTAGACAAGCGTTTATTTGTGCATTGTGCACACGGGAAGCCTAGCCTCGTGGACTTTCTCACTGGATTAACATGTCTTTGGCACTTTTTTCGGAGTCCTCCGCTCACAGAGCCACGAGACCAGCATGTCCCATTGTTTACACACAGGAGCAGCTCCTCGGATTTAGAGACTCCGCTTTCCGGCACTCAGAGAAGCCGGTGATCCCCTTGGAGATCCGAAGGAGACGCAGGGGCTCCAGAGGAGGCCGAAAGAGGAAGAAGAGACCGTATCTCCCCTCCATCCTCATGGGGAACGTACGGTCCATCTCTAATAAGACTGAGGAGCTGACCGCACTGGTCCGCCATCATAAAGAGTACAGACAATGTGGACTTATGTGTTTCTCTGAGACGTGGCTGTGTGGGAATATACCGGACTCTGTGGTTGCGCTGGAGGGATTTAAACTTGTGCGAGCGGACCGCTGCGTGGAGGGGAGTGGGAAGAGGAAAGGCGGGGGTGTCGCGGTCTACGTGAACGAGCAGTGGTGCATCCCGACGCGCGTGCATGTGGTTCAGCGTACATGCACACAGGACCTGGAGCTGCTCGCTGTGAGCATGAGACCCAGGTATCTGCCGCGGGAGTTTTCACACACCGTGTGCATTACAGACTATATTCTCTTCTGTGTGGATAACACTGTACCAACTAAGAAGGTGCGGTGTTTTTCTAACAACCACCCATGGGGGACCCCTGAGCTTAAAGCCCTCCTGAACCTCAAGAAAAGGGCTTTCATCTCAGGGGACAGGGAGGAGCAGAAGAGGATCCAGCACGAGCTCCAGTGGAGGATCAGGAGGGCCAAGAAGGACTATGGGAAAAAGCTGGAGCAGAAGCTGGCCCAGGGAAACGCCCGCGACGTGTGGAGAGGCCTAAAGAACATCTCCGGCTTTGGACAGAGTGCCAGAGGAACAGTGGATGGAGACCAGCACCGGGCGGATGAATTTAACCAGTACTTCAACCGGTTTGATTCTCCCCCCTCTCCATCTGCCCCTCCTCCCGCCCCCACCTCTTCACACGTCCCCAGCCCAGTGGACACCGCCCAGTGGACACTGCCTCCGGCTGCCCCGGGCCCTCCTGCCCCCGCATCCCCAGCCCCCACCTTGGACAGTACACCCCAGTCACCCCTCCAGGTGAGGAGTCAGCTCCAGCGCCTGAAGCTGAAGAAATCCGCAGGACCGGACAGGATCAGTCCCAGGCTGCTGAGGACCTGTGCAGAGCAGCTCTCTGGGGTCCTCAGCTACATGTACAACCTGAGCCTCAGCCTGGAGATGGTCCCTGTCCTGTGGAAGACCTCCTGTGTGATCCCGGTCCCAAAAACGGCACACGCCAAGGAACCGGCTCACTACAGACCAGTCGCACTGACCTCCCACCTGATGAAGACCATGGAGCGGCTCATCCTCACCCATCTCCGCTCCGTGGTTAGCCCCACCCTGGACCCGCTGCAGTTCGCCTACAGACCCAACATCGGAGTAGAGGACGCCGTCATCTAGTTCCTGCAGCGGACGCTCTCCCACCTGGAGCCCGCCGGGAGCGCTGTGAGGGTCATGTTTTTCGACTTCTCCAGCGCTTTCAATACCATCAGGCCGGCACTGCAGGGGGGAAGATGGAGGACGCGGGAGTGGACAGTAGCCTCACTGCATGGACCATCAACTACCTCTCAGACCGACCACAGTACGTGCGGCTGCGCAGCTGTGAGTCTGAGGTGGTAGTCTGCAGCACTGGGGCCCCTCAGGGCACTGTCCTCTCACCGTTTCTCTTCACCATCTACACCTCAGACTTCACACACGACACACACAGCTGTCACCTGCAGAAGTTCTCCGACGACTCCGCCATCGTGGGCTGTGTGTCTGAGCGGAACGAACTGGAATATCGATCGGTTATCAAGGACTTTGTCGACTGGTGTGAGCGTAACCACTTGTGCTTGAACACCAGTAAGACCAAGGAGATGGTCATCGACTTCAGGAGAAAACCACTTTCCCACACGCTGCTGAACATCCAGGGGGAGGACATTGAGCTGGTGGACAGCTTCAAGTACCTAGGTGTTCACATTAACAATAAACTGGACTGGTCCCATAATACAAACGCCCTGCACAAGAAGGGCCAAAGTCGCCTCTTCCTTCTGAGGAGGCTGAGGTCCTTCGGAGTGAGCAGGCCTCTGCTCAGGACTTTTTATGACTCTGTGGTAGCTTCTGCCATTTACTACGCTGCCGTGTGTTGGGCCCCGGGCAGCACAGAGCGGGACAGAAACAGACTGAACAAGCTGGTCAGGAGGGCCAGCTCCACTCTGGGCTGCTCTCAGACTCTGGACTCTGTGGAGGAGGTGAGGGACAGGAGGGAGCTAGCCAAAGCCACCTCCATCATGAACAATACCTCCCACCCACTGCACAGGACTGTAGAGGAGCTGAGGAGCTCCTTCAGTGGAAGACTGAGGCACCCTCAGTGTAGGAAGGAGCGCTACTGCAGGGCCTTTATCCCCACCGCTGTCAGACTGTACAATAAGTCACTTTAAATGATCACTGTGTGAAAACCTGCACTACTATTGACACTGTTTCCAATTGACACTTGTCACTTTTGTTGCACATAATTATTGTCATTTTGTTGTACATATATCCTGCATGTAACATGTTTGCACATTTCCTCCTTTAGCACAATCTGAGTGTCTCTATCCATGCCAAATGTGACATGTAAATTACTCTTATGTGAGATAAATAAAGCAAATCTTATCTTATCTTAGATTGATATGCTTTTAGGTTCTTTTTTGTATAGACACAGGATGTCTGAATGAGGTAATTATAGATCAGGCCAGATAACCGATGGCCATTTACTCCTATCTACAACCCACTGTTCTGTGAATATAGTAGTATCATACCTTTATTTGATTGGCACAGAAAATGCATTGTTACAGGTAACCGATGCCATGTTCATAGGCCGTATGACTAACAGCTAATTTGCAGTCCTGGTACCTAAGGAATAATAATACATCACATTTACATTGATCGTTATGAAAAACACATTGCACAGTACAAAATATTTAAAATAGACTATTAGAGTTTTGCATTGTGCTCAGAAGTTTGGTTACTTGTTTAACTTTGATTTTAAACTCATTCAGGTCTGTTAAAGATTTCAGTTTGGCAGGTAAAATGTTCCAGAGTTGTGGCCCTTTGACTGCAAACAAAGTCTGACCAAATTATGTTTTACATCTTGCTGGTCTGCAGTGTGTATGGATCAGGAACTGGTGCCCATCGCTGAGGACGAATTCATGAAGATTACCTGGACAATCAAAACTATTCAGGGGTTCTGTGTAATGTGTTGTAGGGATGATAGCCATCTTAAACGAGCAAACACAGTACATCTACAGTAGCCAATTATGACCGGCCGTAAACAACTTAGCCCCATTTTAATTTCATTTTAATAAGATCACATGAAACCAAATGAAACTTACTATTTAGCAATTTTCATGGATTTGTTTAACAATTCAGATAGTTAACTCATTTGTTTTAAAACTTAATGTACACACATGTGATAATTGGGTTTATGGACTAGATTAATTGCTAGCTAGCATAGGCTCATTAGGTCAAGCTGCTATAATTTTGCAAATATAAAGCAAACAAAAATCTTACAGTTTTATTCAACATTGTTAGCAGTCCTGACATGACTCTACAGCAGTGACGAAGGTTCCAAGATGTAGCTGGCTAGCCTTGCGGCAACATGCTAACAGCATTAGCGTAATACATGCTAACGGTATTAGCTTAGCCGTGATTACGAGAGCATATTAAACATTTACGATATAAACACGACCTGGTGTTTGTCTATAGGGTGTCCACAAGAGTGCACATACCACATAAAAGACTACAATAGCTAGCCCATTGAAATGAAAAAATGTGATTAATCAAACGCTGACATAACTCGGAAAAGACATGAATGTTAGCCACTTAGCCGCTTAGAATGTCTTGCTCCTCGGATGCATGCACCTCAGAGTGTTTGCAAACAGAAAATCCATCTCCAAACTGTTGTGGGTTGTTTACCTTTCACTGGCACCACCCCCAAGCAAGAAAAGTTTTTCACGCGTGCATAGAAAAGATTTGTCAGTTTTCAACGGACGCAGAACACAGACCACGAGTGCACATGCGCGTATGGTTGCTTGTGGTACTGAATTTTCGCGCGTAAGGAGAGGATCTACGCGTGTGTGGCGTGAAATATGCGCATGTGAGTAGTTTACGCGCGTGTGAATTAAATAAAGCTGCGCATGTATTTATTACCTGCGCGTGAATCTGGCGTCATACGTCTTTTCTGACCCCTCCCCTCCCCTCCGCATTGCTGTGTGCGGGTGTGTTCCTCCAGGTGTTGACCTGGAGGAACACACCCGCACACAGCAATAAAACAAGCAAACTTCACACAGAAAGACCTCAGTCCACTTTGTGACCTTCGTGCTGTGGGGCTCAAGCTGTCTCCATTTGATGTTTTGTGCACAGTTTTACCTCTCCGCTGTGAGCAGAGGCTGGCCTTCCACAGAGCAGCTGTCAGACTGCAAGATGAATCTAAACATGAGAACACTGCCTCTGCTGCAGCCAGTGGCCTACACCAGCACCAGGGCCCTCAGGGCGTGCTTACAGAGGAGGTCTCGGAACAGAGCACAGAGCAGTCCCACAGGTAAAACACCAGGAAACAACGATGAAAACTTGCATGCAGGTATGTTTTATTCAAACAAAACTGTACAAAAACAAACAAACATGCAGAACAAAAGTTACCTTAATTGATTCATTGATTTTTGATAGATTTTTACTCTCGTACTGCTCAGGCCCTCGGAGGGCATGCTACAAAATAAAGTTGTAGTGTTCCTAGTCTCTATCCCCCGCACACCTGATGGCAGGTGCCTGATGAGCATGCATCCCTCTGGTACACGCCCCCCAGTTCATTCACAAAAACACATGTGTCACACTAAGCAAAATATAAACAAAAGCACATTAGCACATAAAAACATTTGTGGTTATGCTTCACTCTACGCTTCAGTATTCTGTAACTAAATACAATTGCCCCCGCAATCGCTTAACAGATTGAGGAGGCCGCAGTCTGAGCAGGGTTGCTCAGTCCTCCCTCTCCATGTACACTTCCTCCAGCTCAGTCTTCCCTGGGGTCTGAACAGACTACTGCAGACTATAGAGGATTGCAAAATGCATCCATGAAGTTTGTTTTGTTGGTATTGGCACGTCATAGATCCATATATTGTGTTGCCCGATTCTGTGTAGTTTCCAGGAGCAGAGTGAGGAGCAGGAAGAGGAGTACGAGACTGAGGAGCAGCTCCAGGCTCGCATCCTCACAGCAGCTCTGCAGTTTGTGCCTGTCCACGGCTGGTCAATGGAGGCCATCTCTGCAGGGGCAGAGGTCTGCTTCCATTATTCGCTTTTGAACTTTTCCAACTGCCCTGTTTAACTTTACTAATTCATATATGCTTTTAAGAGCTGCTTTAGAATAAACCTTTGTGTTGTAAATCATATATGATGTAGTAACAGTTAAACACTGTTTATTAGACAGGTTATCTATGTAGATCAAAGCCAGATCACTTTATTTCAGTTCATAGACATCGATCATGTCAGAGTTGGATTTAATGGGAAACTTACATATGTCAGTATGGTTCTATTAAACGAGAGTGACTCCAAAAGGGTTATGGAGTCCATCAACTGGAGGTCAGTAGGGATGAATTGGCACTAGCAGAAAGACATTTCTCACTTCTACCACTAGATGGCAAGACACGTTTATTTGTATAGCACAGTTCATAAACACGGCAACTCAATAAACAGATAATCACAGACCGTTAAAATTAGTGAAGATATAATCCCTCAGTTATATGCACAGTTGGACAGAACTGGTTTTAATCTGAACATGGTCAGAGAAGCAGCTCGTCTCACATTTTTTGAAGACTGTCCCAGATTTTAGCTGCATAAATCTGAACAGCAGCTAAACCCCATGTTTAGGGCTGACTCTGGGCATCAGCAGATGGCCAGTCCCTGTGCTCCTCCGAGTTCGAGCAGGAGGCCAGTGTCTCAGCAGGAGGCCAGTGTCTCAGCAGGAGGCCAGTGTCTCAGCAGGAGGCCAGTGTCTCAGCAGGAGGCCAGTCCCTGTGCTCAAAGTCCGAGTTGGTTCATATGGCACTAACATATCACAGATCTACTTTGGTGCAAGGACATAGAGAGCTTTGAAGTCTATTCTCTGAGCCACAGGAAGCCAATGTAGAGACTTGAGACCAGGACTAATGTGATAGTACTTCCTAGTTCTCGTTGAGACTGCAGTGTTCTGAATATACTGCAGCTGTTTCAAGCTTGTTTGGAGACACCAGTGAGCAGCCATTACTGTAGTTGGAGGAGTGTTGCCCTTTCTAGTCATATCTTACTGCATTTTTTAACCATATGTTTCTATTTAAAGATATTTAATGTATGAGATCAAGATTGTGTTTTAAGGGCCAAAATTTTTACCGACAATGCAGTATATGAGTTATTTAATACTTGTTTTGGACCCACCCCACGCCGGGTGTAGAGTGGGGTGGTGCACTGATTTGACTGTGACCGGTTGTGTTGCAGAGTCTGGGCCTGTCCTCTGCCTCTTCAGGCATGTTCTCTGGAGCAGGAGAGCTGGTCCTTCACTTCATTGCTGACTGTAACTCCCAGCTCAGCCACCTCCTGGCAGAAGAACACAAGCATGTCCAGCTGGGCCAGGCTGAGTGAGTGCTCTCCCCATTCTGTACATCTGAGTCTTTTCATGATGGAGAGTCACCTCCAATATTATTACAAGCCGCCCAAACAAAACAACTGGTGATGACATTACTCCCTCGCAGAGGAGACAAATATTCACATTATTTCTATTGGCTGAATGAGAGAGGTTATTTTTAACTATTTATATTACTTATAGCCTGGCCGTACCACACCATAGTACAAATGACATTTCGTACTAAGGTCTGGAGGTGCTCCATTGAGCTCCGTTTACAGGTGGGAGGGGTTAACTCCTTTTGCAGATACGATTTGATCTGAGTTTACCTTGACGTATGTAGTGCGCCCGAGTCTGTTGTTAGTATTTAGCATTTAGCCTAGCCATCTCCTTTGCTGCTAACGGAGCCCATGGGGAGTAGCGCCAAAAATGTTTCCAGCGATTACATTTGCTAAACATTACCCTTGCTCCGGCTTCAATTTCTTGATAGAACCAGACCGGATTACTTCACTATCGCATTTTTCGCCATTACCAAACTACAACCTGCCCGTTCGACGCAAACTCTTGACATCACCCACAACTAACTACAACACCTGCCTTCCGCGCTCCCTGAATGGTCGGTCGAAATTCAACAGATTGTAATTGCTAACATAGGGACTAACCCAGACGTTACATGCAGTGAAATGATGATTGAACGGAGTGTACGGATGGCTACGGCCAGGCTATATTACTTAGAAAGTCAGACGTTTTATTTCAGACCGTGAGAAAATTAAAACGTAAAGGATATTTTTAGACTGTGTATCCAAACAATATTTTCCTGCTGTACAGTCTAATCAAGACTCCCACTGATGCCTGCTGCCATTTTGTCCTTGGGCAAGACACTAAACCCCACTCTCACTGACTGAGCAGCCTTCCACCACCTGCAGGAGGATCAATGAGGGGCCGGTGCTCTTGAGTTGGGGGGAAGCTCTAATTGCTGCCCAGAAATAGACAAAGGGGATGAAGATGAAAGAATGAATTACATCCAGTACATCTCAAAACGTATGCATGTAAATTTTATTCATAATTCAGACAAATATGTGGCTTCTCTGTTGTATTTGTGTCCTAACTCTTACAGTAGAGTTGGATTACACTATCTAGTACTTTCTTACCTTTGCTTGTAAGAGCTTAAAAACACCAAATCAACTATTTTTTACTTTAGTGCTATCTACATATCCTGGTCAATTTTTTGACATTTTATTGCAAATTCCACAAAATTGCACTTTTGAGCCTAAATCCGCCTGTCTGGAGCCCTCTCTACATTTTTGCTGGCACTACATTTGAATATTTTGCCTGGCCTCTCTGAAGAGGAAAATGTGAAACGCCGGCACCAGCCTCATTCATTTTAATTATGCTTTCAGACCGGATCATGCGTTGCGTCGGGTTTCAATGCAAAGTCTATGGTGACTCGCGTTCGAGCGTCACAACGCACGGACCTCTCTGCACGCACGGACGGACTGTTCAGTAGAGACACACGGACTTGGCGGGAAAATCAAAGGGGAGGAGCAGGAGCGAAAAATCGGCGCCCACAGCAGATGGATTCTGCTCATCCTTTCCTTGGGACGTTCGTGCGACAACCAATCAGAGCAGCAAAGTGGTCACGGGGACATTAGCGGACTGAGCGAGCAGACTGAAAATACTCGTTAACAGCCAAAACAGGACCCACAGAACTCACAGACTGTGTGCTTGTGAATATATGCGTTGTCATGCTCCCGTGGCCTTTTGCAACTGCTTCGAGTGTGTTCGCTGATGCAGAAATACCGTTTAATAATATGAAAACGCGTATGGCGCACCTCCGTGAACACATACTACTGTTATATAAAGCCCGTGGAAAGTCTCTGTTCAAAGACACGCTGCAAAGCTGCATATTGGAGAATATCTGTACACAAGAAGCCGCTAGCTAAACTCTGTTAGCATCCTAGCCTGCCGGCTACTTCCGGCACTTCCGGTGCACGTCAGGACATCTCGGTGTGAAAACCCCTGCGTCTGAAAACTAGAGAATGCGCGTCTGGTGAGCGGGGCTTCAGCGTTTGAGCGTTTGTGGTCTGAAAGCACCATAAGATGGATGCTATACCCAATTTTTTTAATGAGTTCATAAAAATGCTTATTACTACATACAAGTAATATTATCCGTAATTTAATTGATAACTTGAGCTCATCAATTCAGCTTGTGTATGAATTCAGGCCGTAAAAAGTGCTGAGTAGAAACTTAGCGTGACGTCCGCTCTCCTCTACTCAACAGAACGAGGAGCAAACAGGCGGCGTCCTCTAGCTTCTACAGCGCTGCTAAACACTGTAACATGTTAGCAGAATTGGCTATAACTCCTCTTGCTGTAACGGCAGACACGGTAAAACAGCCCAAACGACACAACAGTGAGGAAGAGAAGAGGGAACTAAAGCAAAAAAATTATCAAAGAAGAAATCAAGCCCGGGTGAACATAGCAAGCTTACATCGTATCCTCTGGAGAGATTTGTCTATGGGAGAGACCTGCGGAACTGCCTCGTACTATCTATGCTCAGACTACATTCGAACGCGGAACTAGCGGTAACCTTTCAGTTATATATTTTGTTTGCAGGGTGTTGCTTTTGTACCATTTCATCAGTGATTGTTGTACAGCTTACCAGAAGTTGCGCTCATGCTAATGTATGCATATAGATCGCAAATAAAACTAGATGGCTCCGTGGGATGAGAGCGTAGGGGAAATGAGAGACCTGTGAGTGAGTTGGGGGGCGGTGCTTAACATTCAAACCTAGTAGAAACAGGTATATCTCCTTTTAACGAGTGCCTTCTGAAATCCACAGAGGCTAAACTAGAGTGGCCGAGAGCAGACTTTTGGAATATCCTGTTTTTTACAAGAGGAAAGAACACGGCATACAAAAGCATTGGATAATTCTCTTTCTGGGTCCACCCCATGGATCTATAATAATAACTGGATAGGGTATTACTAGCTTATAGCTGTCCACCCACAGGCACAGGGGGTGCCCGTGGTACTGCAGACTAAATTCACAAGGGAGTTCCCTATACGCCCCATTCGCGCACCAGTGTTATACGCCCTACACAACAGCTCATCTGTGAGGTGACACTGGGGGTCTGAGGCCACAGCCCGCTCGACCGATGGCATGCGGCCCAAGCCAAATTGGGGGGCATCCTGCATGGAAGCCTAAGCCCGGGCCTCTGGACGTCAATCTTGACTGAGCCTTCGTATCCGTCCAGCATGCATGTAGCTCCCTCACATAATCCTTCGAAGCAGGCACGGAGATGGAGGGAAGAGGCCACTGTTAAAAAAAGCGCTACCAGATAGCACTATCCCCTGCGGGACACCCAAGTGGGCGAGTGCAGAGTGGACGGCAGAGGGAATCCCCACGCACCCCGTGGAAGCCAATGAACCAGCTTCAGAGGCCCTGGAGTCAAACTCCTCAGAGTCGAGGCGAAAACACGTGTCCGATGCAGCCACAGACATTACATCGTCCTCGCAAATAGGCAGTGTTATTTTTGTTGACGAAATAATATTGTCATAATTTTTGTCACAAATATATTGTTGGGGACGAAACAAAAACTAAAATAGAAGTCATTAATTGACATGTAGACAATGACTAAATTGATTAACATTTTCGTCCACAAATAAAAGACGAGACGAAAGATGGACCTGACGAAATCAAATCAGAAGAAGAGATATATAAGAGCAAATGAGAAAACAACCAATCTACTGGCCAGAGTAAATGCAAAGAGGACAATGAGGGCTTGCCTTAGTATCACCGGTGGTCCTAGCTGCGAACAGAAGCTATTGCTAATGCTAACCACAACACCACTCACGTAAGCCTGTAAAGTGTCCATCAATGATGAAAAGAACAAGAGTATGTCCACGACTGGGAGAAAAAGACGAGGATATCTGTGGGCCCTTTTTACGTTTGACAAAGAAGAAAATAATATACCTCCTATACAAAGAAATGTGGACAAAGAAATGTAAAACACTCTAAGTATCGGTGCCTCTGAGACATCTACAGTTGATCTACAATAATGTTATATAAAAAAAGGATTGCTCTAAAGTAAAGTAAGCTACCTGTGTCACGTTTGCTAGAAGCGATTATACTGTTTGTATTTGTACAAAAATGTCCCTATTTATACAAATGTCATGAGCAACATGTTTAGGAAAAAGGCATTTTTTAGTCGACTAAAATTAATTGCTTAATATTTTCATCGACTAAAATGGGACTAAAACTAAATAAAATCAGATGACTAAAATTGTGACTGAAACTAAAATTTATTTTAGTCAAAAGACTAAGACAAAAACTAAATTAGAATTTCTTGACTAGACGAAAATGCACACTCACACACACACAATGGGTCCGGCCACGGAGCCAAGGGTGTGAATAAAACAAGACAACAAAAAATATAGATATTCAAGTACTTGTGTATTTTTAAGGTAGGTATTCTTTTCTTTTAAGAGGTATATATTAATAACAAGTTATATCAAATACCAATAATATAGAAACAAAAATATGTATGTAAAAAAACAAATATACAAGGTAAACAGAAATAGTCCTGAGTTCAAGTTCAGTCTCCTTAGAGTTCAGTTTATCTCGGTTTAAATCCATGTAATCCAAAGGAGGGAAAAAAATAAGGTTCGTTTGTTCCTACCACAGTGCAGGTAGGAGGAGGGGTAGGTAGCAGTGTTGCCAACTTAGCGACTTTGTCGCTAGATTTAGCGACTTTTCAGACCCCTATAGCGACTTTTTTTCAAAAAAGCGACTAGCGACAAATCTAGCGACTTTTTCTGGTATTGGCGATTTATCTGGTGTTTTGGCGACTTATCTGGTGTTTTGGAGACTCGTGAAGCACGTATTGTTCTGCTGTCCTCAACGTGAGCCCCTCCCCCGTCCCAAAGCACTTACAGGCGGCCAGTCTCACAGTAGCCTTGCGCAGCAGTCCCAGCTACAGTCTATGGGCGGAGCAGAGAGAGAGAGAGGAGACTCAAAAGCACAGGAAGTTTTCAGGCTGCTGCAGACTGAACTTCAGCTCCACCACCACCACACATCCAAAGCTCCCCGGCCACTCCTACCACCGCCACCCCCCACTACCCCCCACTCCATCCGCGGCAGCTCTGTCCGTGACTCTGTTTTCTCTCAGTAGTGGGTCACATTAAATCATTTGTTATGCCAAACTATGAAAAAAAAAAAAACTTACAAAAATAAACCTAAGTAACTCTGCCAGAGTGTGTCTTTTGGGTCACTTTGCCGGTCCCAAGCCCGGATAAAGGAGGAGGGTTGGTTGTAGAGCTAGCAATTTCACCCTACATAACAATCTTTTGATTACATTTGCTGTTATAACATTTAACAATACAGGACAAAACTGATGTGTGTAATGTGGCACTAGACAAAGCATTAAAATCATTAAATGTTGTTAATGTTGAAATTATTTGTAGTTTCTAAACATATTTAGGGTGTTTTTACTCACTTTTGTCTCTCCCACGACGTTATTCCTCTCTCCTACAGCGTCCGTTACAGTTATTTGCAAATGGCAAATTATGCAAATTAGGCGATGACGTCATTTAGCGACTTCTAGCGACTTTTGGGACAGCCAATAGCTACTTTCCTTACTGAGGAGTTGGCAACACTGGTAGGTAGCTCGCCATCAAGTGGTTGGACAAGGGAAGTGTTCAGGGTGGTTGGAAAAAAACCTGACCTGTATAATGGGGCTTTCAGACCGCCAACGCTGAAACGCGGAAGCCCCGCTCACCAGACGCGCATTCTCTAGTTTTCAGACGCGGAGGACTTCACACCAGAACGTCCTGACGCGAGCCGGAAGTATCGGAAGTAGCATTAGAGCCGGCTCGCTAACAGAGCTATGCTAGCGGCTTCTTGTGTTCAGATCTTCTCCAATATGCAGCTTTGCAGCGTGCCTTTGCTCACAGACATTCCACGGGCTTTATACAACAGTAATATGTGTTCATGGAGGTGCGCCATACGTTTTTTCATATTATTAAACGGAATTTCCGCATCGGCTAACACACTCGAAGCTGTTGCATAAGGTCAAGGGAGCATGACAACGCATATTTTCACAAGCACACAGTCCCCCATTGTCAACCCTGGTTTGAGTTCTGGTGAAGTCCGCTAATGTCCCTGTGACCACTTTGCTGCTCTCTGATTGGTTGTCGCACGAACGTCCCAAGGAAAGGATGAGCAGAATCCATCTCCTGTGGGCGTTGATTTTTCGCTTCTGCTCCTCCCTTTTCACTTTCCCGCCAAGTCCGTGCGTCATTATTGAACAGTCCGTTCGTTCGTGCGTGCCGAGAGGTCCGTGCATTGTGACGGTCGAACGCACGCCACCATAGACTTTGCATTGAAAGCCGACGCAACGCACGATCCGGTCTGAAAGCACCATAAGGCCAACCAAAAAATTCAATTAGACAAATAAATAAAACATAATTTAGCTTTAGCAGCAACAAGTACGCTATATGCAACAGCAAAAACAATAATCTCAACAAATATCAACATTTTCATCTTAGAGATGATACATGATAAATGGACAATCAAAATACATTTTCAAATGAAGCTTCAGTAAAAAAGTGCACTTAAATCAAAACCATTAGCAAGACAGTTAAGTTCATTTCTAATTTACAAAATACATAAATGCATTTTCAAATGAGTCAAATCGTATTGCGCAATAAAAAAGGTCATTTTCAAATAAGGATTCCAATTCAAAAATCATATAGCCGCTTAGGCAATTCATTCAAAAAAGTTGGGGAAAAGGGCATTAACGGCCATCTACAACAAAACAAAAGACTTTGACTTTATGTGCAAAGTGTACCGTACAGTTCATGCATTAGTATTGCATAGTATTGCATTGCATAATGCAATACTATGATACGGATGATTACTTCAACACACAAAACCAAAAGAGCAGATTGACTCACCGGTAACGGGATCACAAGAAATACGCTCGTAACAGCGTTCGGCTTGATTCGAATGCAGAATGGAGGCTGTATTTTGTCTCAATGACTCAAAATGACAACGCCACAGCAGGAGCAGCTTGAATAGCAGCGGGACTGAGTAGGCGGATGTTCCAGGTTTAAAGGGACAGGTTTAAGGGAAATGGGCCCACCAAAATAAAATGACAGGGACGGGGCAGGGACTGAGCTGCTAACTCATGTGGGTTACACAAACATTAGCTTACTCCGAAAAACAGAAAAGCCGAGCAAAATAGGAAGCACACGTGCAACACGTGGATCAGAACTCACTGGTTGAGCTTGCAGCTTGAGACTCACCCACTGCCCAATTTCTGGTGTGTAAACTACTGCTTTAAGCCAGCAATAACTGTCCGATTTTTGTTTTTGTGGGCTGTGATTGGAAAGCAAGTTGTCAAAGCTCCCCCCCTTCTTGTCCATTGGTCCTCCAGGCAACACCCTTTTTCAGAGAGAATTTTCAAATGTTCATGTGGGCGGAGTGATGGGGCGTTCAGACCGCCGACACTGGAATGCAGCTTCCACGCGCACTAGACGCACATTTTCTAAGTTTCAAACGCTAGGGGTGTTCAGACCAGAAGTCCTGGCCTGCCGTGGCGCCCGGCGGAAGTGGCATCTGTTTTAATGCTAACAGAGTTAAGCTAGCGGCTTTTTGTGTAATAATCTATCCAGTCCTGAGTCACTAACCTTGTTGCGTGGATAGCCCTGGTTCGGCTCCAACCAGATCCCCAGTTTCTCCGGAGTCTCCATGTTGGAAGGGCAGCTGTGTTTGGCCTCGTCCTGCTTTTGGTGCCTCGGCTCTGCTCCTCTGTCCTCCTCCTGCTCTATCCTGGTTCTCTCTGCTCCTCTGTCCTCTTCCTGCTCTATCCTGGTTCTCTCTGCTCCTCTGTCCTCTTCCTGCTCTATCCTGGTTCTCTCTGCTCCTCTATCCTTCTCCAAGAATGCAGCTCTGCAGCGTCTTTGTGTCTGAGACCTTCAAGAGACTTTATATAACAGCATTTTGTGTTCACGGAAGTGCGCCATAACTTTATTTTATTTTATTATCAAACAGTACTTCCGCGTTGGCGAACACGTTAGCAGCCCCTGTTAACAGTCACTAGAGAATGCCTCTACCGCACAGTCCGCGTGTCTCTACCGTGCAGTCCATGCAGTTTCACACTTGAATGCAAATCACCCTTGACTTTGCATTAAAAGTCGTTGCAACGCATGATCTGAACGCCCCATAAGGTTGGGCACAGGTGTTTAATTTTCTTTTAACGGCATGTGTTTTGTGTTTCAGACCCAAGAAGACTTCAGACTTCCTGAGAGAGACTGTGGAGACCAGACTGAGGATGTATACTCCGTATATTGAATCATGGCCCCAGGTATAAGCTAGTTTCCTAGTCCTTAATGCTGCTTTATCTTCTGTTGAGGTCAGCCTTAAGGACGTGAGAAGATTGGCAGGGGCTTTAAATCAATTTGTTCAGCCATCCAAGGTGTCTGCTCGCATTTAGGCCACGTCTAGTCCTCCCAGGCTTGCCAGTAGGTGTGTCATTTCTGGTATTTCTGCAGGCCCGGGTGAACGCGTGAGTGTTCTCACCAATTAGCCCAAGAAGCTCTTCTGTCCTCCACCTGTTACCTGTATTAATGGCACCTGTTTGAACTCGTTATCTGTATAAAAGACACCTGTCCACAGCCTCAAACAGTCAGACTCCAAACTCCACTATGGCACACCAGGAAAAGAATTGTAGACCTGCACCAGACTGGGAAGAGTGAATATACAATAGGCAAGCAGCTTGGTGTGAACAAATCAACTGTGGGAGAAATTATCAGAAAATGGAAGACATACAAGACCACTGAACGGTGATCAAAAATCCCAGAACCACACGGGGGAACCTGGTGAATGACCTGCAGAGAGCTGGGACCAAAGTAACAAAGGTTACCATCAATAACACACTATGACGACAGGGAATCAAATCCTGCAGTGCCAGACGTGTCCCCCTGCTGAAGCCAGTGCATGTCCAGGTCCGTCTGAAGTTTGCCAGAGAGCACATGATGATACAGCAGAGGATTGGGAGAATGTCATGTGGTCAGATGAAACCAAAGTAGAACTGTTTGGTATAAACTCAACTCGTCGTGTTTGGAGGAAGAAGAATACTGAGTTGCATCCCAAGAACACCATACCTACTGTGAAGCATGGGGGTGGAAACGTCATGCTTTGGGGCTGTTTTTTTGCTAAGGGGACAGGATGACTGATCCGTGTTAAGGAAAGAATGAATGGGGCCATGTATCGTGAGATTTTGAGCCAAAACCTCCTTCCATCAGTGAGAGCTTTGAAGATGAAACGTGGCTGGGTCTTCCAGCATGACAATGATCCCAAACACACCGCCCGGGCAACGAAGGAGTGGCTCCGTAAGAAGCATTTGAAAGTCCTGGAGTGGCCTAGCCAGTCTCCAGACCTCAACCCCATTGAAAATCTGTGGAGGGAGTTGCTCGGCGACAGCCCCGAAACATCACTGCTTTTGAAGATCTGCATGGAGGAATGGGCCAAAATACCAGCTACTGTGTGTTCAAACCTGGTAAAGACCTATAGTAAACGTTTGACCTCTGTTATTGCCAACAAAGGTTATATTACAAAGTAATGAGTTGAATTTTGGTTATTGACCAAATACTTATTTTCACATTCTGTCTCTCACAGTTGAAGTGTACATATGATGAAAATTACAGACCTCTGTCATTATTTTAAGTGGGAGAACTTGCACAATTGGTGGCTGACTAAATACTTTTTTGCCCCACTGTATATAGTCATTGTTACGTCACACATCGAAAGACATACGTGTCACACAGACAGAGCAAATCATAGTCATAACATGGACACACAGAGTCCTTGTATAGTCTTGCAGTTTTCCTGCACGTAGGCCAAATAGCTATCTAATCCTTACAGTACTTATACATGGATTATGCAAAATAAATAAGCAATTGATGTCCAAAATAGGAGTGGGAAGAATGGATGTTGGAACAAACAGTATTTCTTCAGCGTATCAACATCAGGGTTTCTTCCAGTGGATATCACCCTTCAATTTTATTTATTCCCTATTTTTTAGACAAACATGTATAAGTCCCACATCAAAAAGAGACTAACATTATTTTAATTGGGTACATGTGGTCTCAAATGATTCTTTTTACAATTTAGCTATAATCCGCAAAAAACGGTCTTCTACCATTTTATGAGCAATCTGTCATAGAATGTGATATTATATAAGTAAATACAAAAAAGTTCTGCACGGACTCTAACCCGGGTTGCTGAGGTACAAGCGTTATGGCTTAACCATTAGACCACCATTGCATACATCTGTTGAAACAATCGAGGTAATTTAATTGTCAATGAAGAACGCTCTCCAACCAGCAAGTTTTGCATCACACAAAAAGTTTTTATCCGCTGTATCAACTTTTGAAAGGCGTCCCGATATAAATCCTCGTTTTAGTCTTTGTTTTGTCATTAATGATTTGAGAGTCATAACAAGACCTTTTTTAGTTCTGCAGCCACATGTTATTTTACCACTGAGATTAGCTAGCCGTGGGGAGTTCTGGCAACCCGGATCACGGACTTCCTGACTGGCGAAACGGCGGAGGGTGGGACATCGAAATGAAAACAACAACTTTTACGGGTCGTTAAACTAATTTTGATATTCAAAAATCTCGGCTGAACTACTGTTATCAGTTAAAGATGTATTCGAAAAGAGCATGATTTAATAATGCCTTTTGAAATATTGGGGCCATTTAATGACTTGATATACAAATATTATATAATATATATTGTATTGGGTTATAATGCGTTATAATTCAATTCAATGTATTCTTGTATTGCCCTAATTCACAACAGTGGTTATCTCGGAGGACTTAACAAAACCGTAGAATTTTCCAACACAGATCAGATAATCAAACAGTTCAAACACAGGAAATAAGGGGCAGATGACCATTGTCCATGAATGTGATGAATGTCCATAAATGAATTAAATTAAATGTTCAAATTTGGTCTTTGTCAAGTACCAGTTGTGACACTTTGACGCTGGAAATGATGCTTATCTTCTTAACCTAAATCTTTTGCATACTTGTAAGTCAGTATTTGACTCTTTGAGCTAGGAGCTGATTGGCTGAATGAGTGTGGTCCTCATCCTCATTTTTCTGTCTGAAAAAGCTGTTTTATAAAGATGCAACAGAGGCCAAAAATACACAATTTGAAAACTAATGATTGACCCTTGTAATCCCTTTGGTTCTTTTTAAGTCATTTGAATTTTGGGTTACCCAGCTTTAATCTACAATTTCATTAAAAAGTTCCTTACCTTGATTGTAGGGCTGGGCGATGTGGCTGAAAACTATATCACAATATAAGTAATTCATATCGGGGGAATGAGGCTCAAGGAATATGTTCACAAGCAGTCTCCCCATTGTTAGTCCTGGTTTAATCCTGGTTTAGTCCTGGTTTAGCTCCTGTTTTGGCTGTTTTGGAGTGTCTTGTGTCCCTGTGACGGTTCCGGAAAAAGTTCTTCTTTTGCTTTCGCCGAATTCATTGAGTCTCTGTACCCACTGCCTCTACCACGCTGCACATGCTATTCCTCACACTGACGTGCATAACCATTGACACGGCATTGAAACACAATCTATAGATCCGTGGACGCTGCGCATTGTGCTGTAGTTGTTTTTGCATTTCCCAGAATGTTTTGCGATTCCTACCCGGCTGTGATAGAGAAGCCTCTGCCTACATCCCCCAGAATGCCGCGCGCTTCTGACTCTGCTTTACTTCCTGTGTTTTCTCCCTATTTTTTCTAACGGAGTGAAGTTGAACTATCGAACATTCTATTGACCTTGTTTTCTATTGATATCGAACACTTGTCTATCGCGATAAATATCGTTTCATCGCCCAGCCCTACTTGATTGTATGTAGTTATTGACTGGGAAAAGCTCATGTGAAATGCTGTTTGTTCTTTTTAGGCGATGAGTTTGCTGCTGCTTCCTCAGAACATGCCTGAGGGCCTCAAGCTGCTGTCCTCACTTGTGGACGACATGTGGTACTATGCAGGTGACCGCTCCACAGATGTGAGTGATAATTGGTTTTTGTTTTTTTTTGGCGGGCAATGATCACAGGCACGGGTTTGTACCTGTACTTGGTCTTTCTTTCCATGTTGTGCTTACGAGCTGTTTGGAGCTCATCTCCAAGCGGCGTGCATGTCGACCTGGATCCATCCATTTTCTTCTCCTTTGTTCATTTCTGGGTCGGGGGGCTGGCAATCTGCTGCCACCCAATTCACAGAGCACTAGCACCCAGTCTATTGTATTTGGCTTAATTAATTTGAAATCTGCACAAATCGTTTTGGACTGTACATAATTGTTGTGTCACCAATAAACAAAAGCATCACCAAGAGGACTTTTTCAATCTTGATGCAAATTCCTTGTAGTCAATTACAGCCTTCCTCACCAGACACTGAGTTTCATCCTTGTTCATGCCTTAGGGAGTCCACTGGGAGCCACCTTACCAAGATAGCAAACTATGACTTCACTATTCTAAAATAAAAAAGTCATTCAATTTGTGCTTTGTTACTGTTACTACTGACTGTTCCATGAGTAAGTGTCCATCATAGCAGTGTTCTTTCTGTCTGCAGATGAACTGGTACACAAAGAGGGCGGCCCTCACAGGCATCTACAACACCACTGAACTGGTTATGGTGCAGGATTCTTCTCCTGACTTTCAAGAAACCTGGGACTTTCTTCACAACCGCATACAAGACGTAGTGAACATGGCCAACACAGCCAAGCAGGTATCCTCTCCACATGAAATATGTATGGTGACATGTTACCAGAAGCAACCCTTCTGGTGTTTCGAGGGAAAAGCAAGGACTCAGCTAGGGCTGGTGTCGGGAAGGAGTAATTGCTGAAAGCAAGATTTACCATACTATATATTTTTGTTATATTTGTAAAAAGTTATGCTTTGAACAAAATATCACCATGAAATAATTTGTGAAATATGTTTGTGTGTAAAATAATTAGGTGCAGACGACAGGCGAAGCGGTCGTCCAGGGGCTTGTTGGAGCTGCTGTAACAGTAAGTGAGCTTTGATCTCCAGTCGAGGATGTCCCTCACATCAATACAATATCCATATTGATCTCACTGTACAATGTTTATTGCGAGATCGTGAAGAGGCTCATGGTGTTGTGAAATAGCTCACAATGTGGATGATGACTTAAAAAAAAAAAAGGATTATTTAATGACTTAAATTAGCGTTTGCCGGTCACTAGGGCATTTTCTGTCAAATTAATGGATAATGACATGGAACGCTGCTCACTTTCAAATTCAATCCGGAAACATCAATAAACTGTTTGGTAACACATGGTTCCATACATATTTTATATGAAGTGCAAACTAGAACTGTAAACACTAAAGGTTAATTTAAATTGGACTGTGTACAGTAAATCAGTTCCTTAGAGCAGGCCACTCTCATAACACTTACAGTGTCCATAGCAACAGTAATATCTGCATGTTTCTTTTGACAGCTGAAGAATCTGACTGGGATAAATCAAAGGCGATGAGAATGATACTGCTGCGTTATTATGGGATGTCCTGTCATCGACCAGATCATCATCACGTTTTCAAAGCACACTCCGTTGACACCTGGTCAGTGTGAGTGTAATGTAATATAAAACTCTTGTAAATAAACATCCATCAGCAGCTTGTGTTGGTTATGATTTAAACATAATAAATTATATTGTTTAATCCAAAAGTGGTGTGGATTATTTACAAATGGCACATGAAATCATCAATTGTCTGAACATATAATCTATTAGGGATCAACAAACAGCTTAAATTTCTTCTACCTACTGCAAATGTCTTCTAATCAGAAGATTCTAGGTTCGACTCCTGGCTGGCTCGCCAAGCTTTTCCCATGTAACCCACTTTGGAATTAACATGAACGACTAGGTTCTTAAAGAGCTCAAATGTAAAGTGTTGGAACTATAGCCACAATGAAAGACAGACAATAGTTAAATGTAAATTGATTTAGTTAATTATGTCAAGAATTGTTACCACAAATACAATGTAATGTAAAATAAAATACAAAAATAAATAGGCTTGAATAAGTTGGCTTGAACTAAAGTTCAAGCCAACTCAGTCTGTGCGAGCGACAATGATGTCTTTGACCAAGAGTTTCAAGAAAAACCTCAAGGCACATCCTCAGCATTGGAACAAATTCAGAAACAAATAGCAAGCATGCAAGCTCAAATTTCAGCTCTTTCGGCTTTCCATGAGGAGAAATCAAGGAGGAGACTGATCAGAGATGCAGCCAAGAGGCCCATGATCACTCTGGATGAACTGCAGATAACTACGGCTGAGGTGGGAGAGTCTGTCCATAGGACAACAATCAGTCATGCACTGTACAAATCTGGCCTTTATGGAAGAGTGGCCATTTCTCAAAGATATCCAATAAAAGTCTCTTAAAGTTTGCCACAAGCCACCTGGGAGACACACCAAACATGTGGAAGAAGGTGCTCTGGTCAGATGAAACCAAAATCAAACTTTTTGGCCACAATGCAAAACGATATGTTTGGCGTAAAAGCAACACAGCTCATCACCCTGAACACACCATCCCCACCTCAGCTGTAGTTATCTGCAGTTCATCCAGAGTGATCATGGGCCTCTTGGCTGCATCTCTGATCAGTCTTCTCCTTGTTTGAGATGAAAGTTTGGAGGGACGGCCGGGTCTTGGTAGATTTGCAGTGGTCTGATACTCCTTCCATTTCAATATAATTGCTTGCACAGTGCTCCTTGATGTTTAAAGCTTGGGAAATCTTTTTGTATCCAAATCCGGCTTTAAACTTCTCCACAACAGTATCTCGGACCTGCCTGGTGTGTTCCTTTGTCTTCATGGTTCTCTCTGCGCTTTAAACAGAACCCTGAGACTATCAAAGAGCAGGTGCATTTATACGGAGACTTGATTACACACAGGTGCATTCTATTTATCATCATCAGTCATTTAGGACAACATTGGATCATTCAAAGATCCTCACTGAACTTCTGGAGTGAGTTTGCTGCACCGAATAATATTGCACGCCCCACTTTTCAGTTTTTCATTTGTTAAAAAAGTTTAAATTACCCAATAAATTTCGTTCCACTTCACGATTTTGTCCCACTTGTTGATTCATGACAAAAAATTAAAATTTTATATCTTTATGTTTTGAAGCCTGAAATGTGGCGAAATGTTGAAAGGTTCAAGGGGGCCAAATACTTTCGCAAGGCACTGTATATATTTGCTTTGAGCACATTATATATTTGCTTTGAGAACATATATATAGGCTTTGAGCATTTAATATTTGCTTTGAGCACATACAGTGGGGGCAAAAAAGTATTTAGTCAGCCACCGATTGTGCAAGTTCTCCCACTTAAAATAATTGTCTGTAATTCTCATCATAGGTACACTTCAACTGTGAGAGACAGAATGTGGGAAAAAAATCAGAATTTATTTGTAAATTATGGTGGAAAATAAGTATTTGGTCAATAACTAAATTCAACTTAATACTTGGTAATATATCTGTGTTGGCAATAACAGAGGTCAAACAATTACTATAGGTCTTTACCAGGTTTGCACACACAGTAGCTGGTATTTTGGCCCATTCCTCCATGCAGATCTTCTCGAGAGCAGTGAACACAGACTTTCAACTGCCTCCACAGATTTTCAATGGGGTTGAGGTCTGGAGACTGGCAAGGCCACTCCAGGACTTTCAAATGCTTCTTACGGAGCCACTCCTTTGTTGCCCGGGCGGTGTGTTTGGGATCATTGTTATGCTGGAAGATCCAGCCACGTTTCATCTTCAAAGCTCTCACTGATGGAAGGTTTTGGCTCAAAATCTCACGAGACATGGCCCCATTAATTCTTTCCTTAACACGGATCAGTCGTCCTGTCCCCTTAGCAGAAAAACCGCCCCAAAGCATGACGTTTCCACCCCCATGCTTCACAGTGTATGGTGTTCTTGGGATGCAACTCAGTATTCTTTTTCCTCCAAACACGACGAGTTGAGTTTATACCAAACAGTTCTACTTTGGTTTCATCTGACCACATGACATTCTCCCAATCCTCCGCTGTATCTTCCATCTGCTCTCTGGCAAACTTCAGACGGGCCTGGACATGCACTGGCTTCAGCAGGGGGACACGTCTGGAACTGCAGGATTTGATTCCCAGTCGTCATAGTGTGTTACTGATGGTAACCTTTGTTACTTTGGTCCCAGCTCTCTGCAGGTCATTCACCAGGTCCCCCTGTGTGGTTCTGGGATTTTTGATCACCGTTCTCATGATCATTTTGACCCCATGGGATGAGATCTTGCGTGGAGCCCCAGATCGAGGGAGATTATCAGTGGTCTTCCATTTTCTGATAATTGCTCCCACAGTTGAATTGTTCACACCAAAGTTGCTTGCCTATTGTAGATTCACTCTTTCCAGTCTGGTGCAGGTCTACAATTCTTTTCCTGGTGTCCTTCGACACAGTGGCGGCTGGTGGAATTTTCTACTGGGGGGGCTATGAATATGATGACTAGATATAAATGCACCACAGAATTTGACACAGTCTATTATTTTTGATAGGATGTGCCTATTCTTGTCAACCTCCTCATTGTGCTTTCTGATCCCTACCCTGTAGCTTTCATCCAGCTGGGATGAAATATTTATCTTCCCAAACATAGCTAATTTGAGGGCATTTTGCATGTGGATACCAGTCTGCTCATGCTTCTTTGCCTTTTCTAAAAAGTGCTTCAGATCAGTCATGTCATACCTGTCTTGATCCATGCTGGGTCAGATCCTGATGTTTGAAACAAGAGGCATGGAAAGCAAAATAAAGCATTAGCCTCGCTACATGCTGCTCGCCAAGATTTGGCGCTGAACCAGGTCCTGGACTGCTGACTAATGGTAATATTTGGCTGATCAGGTCCAAGCTCTTTAACCTCAACCTTCTCCTGGTATGATCTTCTCTCAAACGGTATTGTTTTGAGTGATCTAACTGAATTATTATTTTTCTCGTTCTCCATTTTGCGTCTCTTTACGTTCGTCTCAAACTCCCACAGCTTGACCTGTCAATCACTGTAAACGGACGTCACAGACAGTGACAGTACAGGTCGCGGGCGATCCCGCCCCCTCAGGGCGCACTTCTCCTGCGCCCCCAAATCGTCTTATCTCTTGCATTGAAGAGGAGCTACTGCGCATGTACAACTTTTAACGAGAGTCCATAGACGGCTCAGGGCGCAATCTTTTGCGCCCTGAGGCGGAAATACGTCCTCAGTCCGACACAGACAACGCTGATGAGCTTAATCAATCCAACTCAGCATAAACTATAAAGTATTTCTTCCACATCTGAAATAAAACACACATACATTTCGAAATATTTTAATGTTATTATTTTTTTTAACGTTTTATTCAAGGTAACATGGCAAGTTGTGAGTGGTGGGGCGGCGCCCTAGCGCCCTCTATTGGCCGGCCGCCACTGCTTCGACAGCTCTTTGGTCTTGGCCATAGTGGAGTTTGGAGTCTGACTGTTTGAGGCTGTGGACAGGTGTCTTTTATACAGATAACGAGTTCAAATAGGTGCCATTAATACAGGTAGCGAGTGGAGGACAGAAGAGCTTCTTAAAGAAGTTACAGGTCTGTGAGAGCCAGAGATCTTCCTTGTTTGAAGTGACCAAATACTTCTATTCCACCATAATTTACAAATAAATTCTTTAAAAATCCAACAATGTGAATTCCTGGATTTTTTTCACATTCTGTCTCTCACAGTTGAAGTGTACCTATGATGAACATTACAGACCTCTGTCATTATTTTAAGTGGGAGAGCTTGGACAATCGGTGGCTGACTAAATACTTTTTTGCCCCTAAATACTTTTTTGAAATGGAATGACTCCAGACATTTTTAAGTAGATGGTAACAACGAATTTTACGAAACAATAACAGTATTTATAAATAACCTGGATGCGTTTAAAATTCCGTAATATATATATATATATTTTTTCATTTTTATATATTTTTTGTTCTATCATTTTAGGGGTGCTTGACATATTTTTAGGGGTGCTTGAGCACCCCTAAAAAGGGGCTAGCTACGCCCCTGGCTTGGAATACTGTTTGAGCGCTGTTTGAGCGTTTTTTGAGCGCTGGTCTCTGTGACGTCAGGACAGAGCGCCGTTTTGATCACAACCCCCTCTTGTTCAGAGTTCAGATATTTTTCCAATCATTCCACACACGGTGATGATGGAAGCGAGTCGCTGAACACACTAGACCATCAGACCCCAATCAATACCATCCATTCACTCTCATTTACATTCATACCTATTGTGAGGATTAGATAGCGACTTGGCCTACGTGCAGGACAACTACAAGACTATACAAGGACTCTGATTATTTTGACTATGATATGCACTGTCTCTGTGAGACACGTATGTCTTCGATGTGTGACGTAACAATAACTATAAAACCATGTCTTGACTTTTGCTCTGTCTGAATCAACTGCCATTTTTGGGAATAAACAACCAAGCTGGATGCACAGGATCCTAGTATGTCTGAGTCTGATTTCCCACACTATTGTGCATGTTTTTAGTGGTAGGGGAAACCATACGCAGACACGGGGAGAACATGCAAACTCCACTCATCCACCGTGCCGACAGTCTGGGTGACCTGGGTATCGTTTTACAAATCCTTCAATATACCCCTTTTCCCGAAAAGGGAAGACTTTGTGACATTCCTATATGGCATGTATAAATGTCCCAGCATCTAACTGACACTTGTCATTTGCCATAATCAGCACTCTTCAAGTGTGAGATACCAGATATGTATTAATTTATATTGCGTGAATTTCCCTCTCGCCTCTTTTATAAATCTCCTCTAATGTAAGTATTTGTCCATATCACAACCCAAATTTCTTTGCCAAATTGCTCTCAGATTTTCATACATATTTTTACTCTTAGATCATTAAATTATTTATTTTAAAAAAGCCGCTCTCTGGGTTCCCTCAGTTAGTTTACAAAACTCCACAACTGGATTTAATTTCTGCGTGCACTTTCCATTTATTATACAGTTTCTTAATTGTAAATATTTCCAAAAGTTTCCCCTTCTCTCCAGACCATTTTTTAAAATAATTACATCGAATTGCATGAGCAAACCATCTTCATAAAGAAGACCAATAAAGGTCCGTGTACTTTTGCGTTCAATACATTTTCTATTTTGGAAGGGAAATAAAGGCTATCTTTTGCATTTTCAGGCACACAGCAATATGCAAAAATGACCATTTTGGTTTTTTCATTGCTTATAAAACATATATCATAATAACCTGATTTGGGAACTAGAAAAGGCAATAATTAACCTTTTTTAATATGTATTTAATACATTTCGGCGTCAACGATTACCCGGAAGTGAAACAAGTTTGTTTAGTCCAATTTAATACGCAAATGACCTCCTGTATTTTTCCAAACACAGACGTCCTGTGATAATACTATTCCCGTGAGAATCTACATGTCAGTGATTGTGATCGCTTTGCCGCTTTCGCTTTACTTTTTGCGTTTACTTTTTGCGTTGTTTGAGTCGCGTATCGCGGCTGCACAGTCGCGGCTGCTGCTGTCTCTGAGGTCTATGGAGAAGTGTAGAGGACAGTGTAACGTGTTCACTGACAAATGATCAGACTGATGGGTTGCATTTGTACGTTTACTCTGCACTCTGTCCTAATACAGTACAGACATGTTGCTGTAGCCGTTACTATTTGTCGGCTCGCACTTATCTTAGCAGAGTGTGTTGCGTTCACGAGTAGTCCGTACAAACTATTATTGAAAATTACAGACAGTATGGGCCAGAGAACTGTAGAACAGTAAAATGTTTGTCCTCATGGTCTCTGTGGCTGCTGTGGTCAGACCATAGACTGTATGACAAGACTCTCTGAACTGCGTGAAGCGGAGAGAGCCGCGCACCTGCGGCCGTTATGTGAGATGTCAGTGAAAAAAGTATTTTACAGATATTGCTTATCCTGTGTGAATGCACTGCAGAATCTCAGACGTTCTCCGTGATTATCACAAATTATCAGGGGTCCACAGATAATACTAATACCGTTCGAGTAAACAAACTTGTTTCACTTCCGGGTAATCGATTGACGCCGAAATGTATTAAATACATAATAAAAAAAGGTTGATTATTGAATTTTCTAGTTCCCAAATCCGGTTATTTTAATATATATGTCCTATAAGCAATGAAAAAAACCCATAAAATTATCATTTTTGTATATTGCTATGTGCCTGAAAATGCAAAATAGCCTTTTTTCGATTTTCCATTTCCCTTCAAAAATAGAAAATGTATTGAACGCAAAAGTACACGGACCTTTCAGGCACTTTCAGGCACATTTTGGTTTTTTCATTTCTTACAAGACATTTAAGAAATAATAACGTTCCAGTTCAGTTTACACATTTAAAAAATATAATCGAAAAACAGAAAACGTGTAATTTTAAAATAGGACAGTTTTTTTGTTTGCAAAATATACAAAGTTGAAAGTTCTGAAAGGGAAAACGTAAGTGTCATAATGACAAATAAGAATAATTGACAAAAGAGTTTGAACGTTTTGAAATCGCACGGGTGTGTATGGTTTTCAAACCTTTGTTCAACCATAGACTATAAATATTAAATGTTCAATAGATTTAGCGAACTGGGTTGGGGAAAATAATGGGAGTCCGCCTTTGTTCACCGATAGCCAATCACAATATAAGAGTGCGCCTTCCCTTGAGTTGCAGCCAATCACAATAACAGAAGTGCGTTTTGCTCCTGAGTTGCAGCCAATCACAAGAATTAATCAATCCGCGGTAGTGAGAACCAGGAAATGATTTCACGAGTGAAACAACTCGGCGCAGAGGCTAAGATCCATGCGCAGAGGTAGTGAGGAAATCTCCAGTACAAATACCCGACCGACTTTAAAAGCCAGAGCCTGCAACCATGCCCTATGCGAATCAGCCCACTGTCAAAATTACCGAACTCACTGACGAAAATGTCAAGTTTGTCATTGAGAACACCGATTTAGCGTAAGTAACGTTACGTACCGTGTACAGTCTAGGATATCGGTCTGATCACAAAAGCCTAACTAGGCTTTGTAGAACTCAAACTGTTCTTTTTCAGAGATGCTGATGTCCAAGGTTAAATAAGCACAATACTCGTGAATTACTACTGTTGTTCTTTTGCAGGGTTGCTAATTCAATCCGTCGAGTGTTTATGTCAGAAGTCGCCACTATAGGTAATATTCATATTGGATATCAACACAACACAAACTGTTTCAATGGGATATATCTTGCCATGTTGTATACGGCAACATTATTTTAAAAAGATTCTTCTGAAGGTTTTATCTCAACTATTAATTGAAGGTTGTAAAATGGCAATTTATAATGGGTGAGCCCGATTTATAGTCCGATTCATTTTAGAAAAAGTACTGCGGGTGGGATAGATGAAATATGCAGGAACACACATGATTACTATCGTAACCATTATCATACCATTATAACATTCAAGACAAGAAGCAAACAAGAGAAAACTCCAGAATGTAGATGTTCCCTTTTTATTAATCTTTAGAGGTTCTCAAAATTATCCCATTGTTATTCATTGCATGTACTAATGTATGCTGATGTTTATTATGCCATACTCTATTCTCTACCTCTTTACTTTTTGCACCGAGAGCCAAAAGAATTTCCTAGTCTGTGACTTCCTGTAACTTACATGGCAAAAAAAATAATTGTTCCCATTTTATCAACTTTAAGCTATTGACTGGATCCAAATTGATGCCAACTCCTCTGTACTCCATGATGAATTCATAGCTCACAGAGTGGGTGAGTATCTACATGTGTTGATTTTTTTCTAAGCTATTACTGAATTTTGTGTCTTCTGCGAGCAGGTCTAATCCCTCTGACCAGTGACGACATTGTGGATAAACTGCAGTATTCAAGGGCAAGTCTTCCAATAATGCCACGCTTATCTTTTGTTAGTGCCTTGTTCCGACGTATTTAGCAGGCATAGCATTTGTTTAATTTCTTAAAAAACTTTATAATTGCTGTGAGTGAGTACTGTAGTTATTTTTCTATCAATACAAAAACATATTTTGAATTTGTGGACGTCATATTGTCCCTAAATATAAAAAAAAAATGTTTGAAAACTCTCCTCACCATATTTGGAAATGTAAGATATGATCACACTTAATTTTGTTGCTGAAGTAGAAGATTTTAGTTGGCATACTATACTTTACTAAATTCGTACTACACTAGTGCATGTCCAAAAGTGGATATCCCACGCAAAAATGGTTTATGACTGAACATCCATGTCTGCACGCAGGTACTCGTGTATATTGTAATATTGGCCACAATGAAAGTCAAGACTGAAGTGGTTTGTGATGCAGGACTGCACGTGTGAGGACTTCTGCCCGGAGTGTTCTGTAGAACTCATTTTGGATGTACGCTGCACAGAGGACCAGACGCGCCATGTGACATCCAGAGACCTTCTGTCCAACAACCCCCGAGTTATCCCTGTGAGTCCTGTTTCTGTACAGTCATTGTCCCTGTGAGTCCTGTTTCTGTACAGTCATTGTCCCTGTGACAATGAAGGGGTCTGCCGTCTTTGTACACATATAGTGTAGTAAAAAACAATTTGGTAGTTGCTGATTGTTGTACTGATGAGAGGTCCTTAATGTTTTTCATAGGTACAATTCAACTGTAGCCTGGCTTTAGCCATCCGTAATTGGGATGTAAATCGGTGGCCGTTTAACCGGTGGTTGACCGTCACAGCGTTAACCGGTCAAAGCTGTCAGTTAAAAAAAAGAAAAAGGGGAGAGTGGAGGTCTCTTAATAACGCTATTTTAAGCCCTATTTGCACGATGTGACGAGCACGTCCGTCTCTAGCTGTGTGAGCCAATGTATTAGTAAACTCCGGACTTTCATGCCGCACGCGCCACATATGCATGCGCACACACACATTTCCCCCCCTCCATTGATACGTAACACCCATTCCACACACATCATCGCTCCCCTCTGTTACTAGTCTGCCGAAGTTACACACTGGTGCGGGTCAGAACTACATTGGAGCTTACATTTACACACGCACACATACACACACAGCCCAAAGGATCCTCGCAAATACGCGGCTTCAGTCAAACCACATGGGAAAACCTGTTTGTGCTGCTGGTCCTTGGCATCTCCTCCACACACATTACGTGTATTTAAACTTTAGCGGAGACCTGCGAGATGCGGCTTGTCACTCGCTGCTCTGACCCTGTGAATGAGCTGTCGTTTGCTGCTAAAAAGCTTTAACCCGCAGCACAGAAGAATGGGAAGATTAAAAAAGCAGGTAAGAAGGTGCCGAAGCTGTTGCGGGTTTTGGCGCCCCTGTCTTGGCTCTGATCCATTAGAACGCTTAGCTGCACTCATGAATAGTACGCGGCTGTTATTTTAAAGGAACGTGGAATATTTTAAACTATGCGGGTTAACCGGTTTCAACCGGTTAATGAGGCTCGGTGGTCGGTCATGAAAATTCATAGTTTTTTACATCCCTAATCCGTAAACTCCGGTCCTTTTATTATTTCCGCACATGCACGCCTGGGTCTGATCCTAGTGGCTACGTTACATCGGTCGTATCCTATCCGTTTTGGTAGGTGTCGGTGACGCCAAGAGTTTGCGCCAAATTTTCTGGTTGTAGTTAGGCATTGGCGCCAATTGAGGCATTGATAGTAAAGTAATCCCTTCTGGTTTGGCTCCCAAATATCAAGAAATTAATACCGGAGCAAGAGAAATTTTTAGCAAATTTCATTTCTGGCAAACATGTGGCTCTACTCCCCACGGGCTAGGCTAAATGCGTCACTCACTCGGGCGCATTACATGCATCATGGTAAACTAGGATCCAATCGTTTCAATCTGCAAAATGAGGGAACCTCTTCCCACCTGTTAACGGAGCCCAATGGAGCAAATCCAGACCTTTTAGTATGAAATGAAATTAGTACTATGTTTTGTTAAGACCTCCTCCGTCCTGTTTGGGGACCACAGAATTTCATCTCTACTGTTTGTGGACTATGTTGTCCTGCCCCAACAAACCAGGACCAGCAACATGCACTGGGATGGTTTGCAACAGAGTGTGAAGCGGCTGGTGAGAATCAGCACCTCCAAATCCGAGGCCATGGTGCTCGACCGGAAAAAGGTGCCTTGCCCTCTCCAGGTGGGTGGAGTGGTTGTGGTAAAGAGGGAGCTGAGCAAAGAGGCAAAGCTCTCAGCCTATTGTTCATGTCCTATGGTCACCTATGGTCATGAACTTTGGGTAATGACCGAAAGGACGGATGAGCGGGAGGAAGCGTGTGTGGATAGGAAAGTCCAGGCGTCTCTGCTGAGACTGCTGCCTCCGCGATCTCCCCGCGATCCTCACTTTGCCCGGAGTTTTTTTATATATTCGTTTATGATGCGTTGTCATGTGGATGACCGGTGCAAACGAAGAAAAATATCTGCGGTTTAGCAGATCCCCGGCGACGTGTGGACGGGGCCATCGATTCAGTTCGTCATATGCAGTAAAACCACGTTGGAATACATGTGCAAAACTTGCCATTTAAAAGGAATACACAGATATTACTATGTGATTAATTTGTAACACAACATTTTACCTCTATTTTGAATGTTTTTAACTAGTCAAATGTGTGTCTGTCTGTCAGGTGACCTCCAGAAGCAGAGACAATGATCCCAATGACTACGTGGAACAGGATGGTAACATACTCTCATGTTATTGAACATAATTATAGATACTTTTTAAATATAAACAATTGAAAATCAAGACAAGAAAGTGACTTGGCATCGTCACCCACTTGGGTGGAAGGACATGAAGTATCTGTACTCCTTTGTTTCAGACATTTTAGTGGTGAAGCTTCGCAAAGGCCAAGAGCTGCGACTGAGGGCTTATGCTAAGAAAGGCTTTGGGAAAGAGCATGCCAAATGGAACCCGACAGCAGGAGTGTCATTTGAGTATGACCCAGACAACGCACTGAGGCACACTGTCTACCCCAGGCCAGAAGAATGGTACACTCACACACACGCACACAAATTGTACTGAAACACACACTTCCTCATGTCACATCTTCTGGGAATGAAGTGTCATTAATTTTGGTAACTGGTGCAGGCTTTGGATTATGTTTTTGTTCCTTATTTGTACTTGTTGCAGCGCTCCTTTTGTGTTTTAATTCCAGCTGAATTGTACATTATTAAATACCATGCTGCAATAGTTTTGTATGCTGCGATATATTCTTTTAAATATGATCTTTTACGATTATTATCTCTTGTTCATACAGGCAGCGTATTATATCCGGGATAGTGTGTGGTTGTTCATTGTTCACTTTAGCGTTTGGATGTATGCACGCCGCGGAATGGTTTGTACCTGGGTTAAAGAACCTACATTATACCCAATTTTTATTTTTTTTATTTTATAAAAATGCTTAGTACTACATACAAGTTGTATTAGAATCCGTAATTTCATTGAAAACTTGAGCTCATTGATTCAACTTTATAAATTCAGGCCCTACAAAGTGCTGAGTAGAAACAATCACACTCTCCTCCAATCACAGAACGAGGCTGCGTCCTCTAGCTTCTATAGCGCTGGTAAACAAGAGAAGAATGGAGGCAGAAAGTGCATATATACCTGCCCTGGCGGTAACTGCAGACACAGCAAAACAGCCCGAACGATGCAACAATGAGGAAGAGAAGAGGGATAAAGATAAAGATTAAAGATAAAAAATGATGTAAGAAATCAAGCCCGGGTGAACATAGCTAGCTTACATATTATCCTCTGGAGAGACAGTCTATTGGAGAGACCTGCGGGAGCGGGACCGCCTTGGACTATATTCGGACTCAAAACTAGCGGTAATCTTTCAGTTATGTATTTTGTTAGCAGTTGAAGGACCGCTTCAAGCTATGGGTTAACCCTAAAGGTGCGTTCACACGGCCAACGCTGGAACACTTACGCACCAGACGCACATTCTCTAATTTTCAGACGCAGGGGTCTTCAGACTAGAAGTCCTGGCCTGCGGTGGCGCCCGCCACCAGCAGGGCGGGCTTTGATGCTAACGTAGTTAAGCTAGCGGCTTTTTGTGTAAAGTTCTTCTCCAATAATGCAGCTCTGCAGCGTCTCTGTGTACAGAGACCTTCCAGAGACTTTAATTAACAGTAGTATGTCAGAATCAGAATCAGAATCATTTTTATTGCCACGTGAGTAACAAAGTTATCACTTGGAAATTGTCTTGGCAGAGAGCGTGCCACTTCGCCATTTGCGGCGCTGTGTGCACGGAGGTGCGCCATACGTTTATTTTATTATTAAAGGGTACTTGCGCATCGGCGAACAGGCTCGAAGCAGTTTCATAAAGTCACGGGAGCATTAAAACGCACATGTTAACAAGCATTATGTCCCCATTGTCAACCCTGGTTTTAGTCCTTGTGTAGCTCCTGTTTTGGCTGTTTACGAGTATTTTCAGTCTGCTCGCTCAGACCACTAATGTCCCCGTGACCACTTTGCAGCTCGCTGATTGGTCGCTGCACAAGCGTCCTGAGGAAACGCTCAGTAAAATGTATCTCCTGCGTGTGTCGATTTTCCGCTCCTGAGCCTCTGCCGCGCAGTCCACGCGTGCATCCATAGACTCACATGCAGTTCGACGCTCGAATGCGCGTCTCCATTGACTTGGCATTGAAAGTTGCCGCAACGCATGATCTGGTCTGAACGCGACATGAATTGCCCAGTTTGTGTTCTCCAAACTGCTAACAAGCAACTCCCCCTACAACCCCTAAGTTTGCCAACCCCACTTCTAGCAACAGTTCTCAGGCCATCAAAGTGCTACAACAGTATGCATACATATAGTGCTCCTGGTGTTGAGAAGGTGTAAGGACAGGGGAGGAAGTTGAATTAAAGCCGCAAGCGGCGTCAAACGGCCCTTGCCGCACCGCACCAAAGTGCGGGGAGTCGCATCTTTCGCGTCTTTCAAATGACCTAGACCCTAGAGCTGAACAATGTATTAAAGTTTTGTGCAAATCAGACTTTGTATGTGCAAACGGCAGCAAATTTAATGTTGTAAAAAACTGCTAAAAAAGGTCAAATTTTGTCGCTCCGCTGCTCAAACAATGTTTCACTGATCAAAAATCCCGGAGCAATTTTGAGGCGAATCGGTGAAACGGCCGAGGAGTCGCCGCTTTCCAACCAACATGTATGAAAACACCGACACGTGTGAAAAGGATCACTTTTCATTTTTCCATTTTGTAGTGAAATTTATGGGCTTCCTGTTTGTCAGAGGGCGGGGCCATAATATTTTTTTCATGTCTTGACTTGAGGAACATGTGTACCAAATCTCGTGACTCTACGACAAACTTGACCTCCGAAAAGTCCCATAGGGGTATTATTTTGGCTGTTGTAGGTGGTGCTGTTCTGGCATTTTTTGAGTCCCATAAAAATAAACCCCAAAATATCAAATTTTTCACCAGGTCTGATCTTTGGACAAAATTTAACAACTTTTCATGCATGTTCAGGGGGTCAAATTGAGGCTCAAAAAGCAGGAGAAAAAATAAATTAAAGCCGCAAGCGGCGTCGAACGGCCCTCGCCGCACCGCACCACGCCTCCCTGCACCAAGCCGCCCCGCACCATGCCGCCTCTCACCACGCAGCCACGCACAATGCCACCTCACGCAATGCCGCCCTGCACCAAGCCGCACCACACCGCCCCGCACCAAGCCGCGCCACACCAAGCCGCACCGCTTATCAGAGGTGGCGCCGCCGCGCCATTAGTTGGTCCCGTAGCCATAAAAGAATGTTTGTGAAATTGTTATGAATATAATGAGTTGAGTTGGTTTGGCTTCCAATGTAAAACTTTGCCTCAGTCTAATGGGCCAATTTCACATATTTCCCTTTTACATGACCTAGACCCTCGAGTTAAACAATGTGTTAAAGTTTTGTGCAAATCAGACTTTGTTTGTGCAAATGGAAGCTATTTTTCGATCGTAAAAAATGGCAAAAAAAAGGTCACAGTTTGCTGCTCCGCTGCTCGAACAAAGTTTTACTGATCAAAATTGGCTGAAATCAAAATGATGGTACATTTGTTGAGATGATGTGGAGCAATTTTGAGGTAAATCGCTGAAACGGCCGAGGAGTCGCCGCTTTCCAACCAACACGTGTGAAAAGGATCACTTTTCATTTTTACATTTTGAAGTGAAATTTATGGGCTTCCTGTTTGTCAGGGGGCGGGGCCATCATAACTTTTTTCTCATATCTTGAGATGAGGAACAAGTGTACCAAATTTCAAGCCTAGGCAACAAACTTGACCTCGAAACGCTCACATACTAAAAACTTGGACCCCATCTGTAGAGGGCGCTAATGAGCCAAGTTCATTTATTTCACTTTCAAATGACCTAGTCCCTAAAGTTGAACAATGTATTCAAGTTTTGTGCAAATCAGACTTTGTATGTGCTAACGGGAGCAAATTTAATAGTGTCAAAAACGACCAAAAAACAACGCTGCTCAAACAACGTGTCACTGATCAAAAATCGCCGAAGTCATTTTGAAGGTACATGTGTTGAGATGATGTGGAGCAATTTTGAGGCGAATCGGTGAAACGGCCGAGGAGGAGTCGCTTTCCAACCGACATGTATGAAAATTATTGCGGATCATTTTTCCATTTTGCAGTGAAATTTATGGGCCTCCTGTTTGTCAGTGGGCGGAGCCATGATAACATTTTGGTCGTATCTTGAGTTGAGGAACATGTGTGCCGAATTTCATGGCTCTACGACAAACTTGACCTCTGAAACTCCCATTGGCTGTTGTAGGTGGCGCTGTTCTGGCATTTTTTGAGTCCCCTAAAAATAAACACCAAAATATCAAATTTTTCACCAGGTCTGATGTTTGGGCAAAATTTAACCACTTTTCATCATGTTCAGGGGGTCAAATTAAGGCTCAAAGTGCAGAAGAAAAAAGAAAGGAAGAAATAAGGATTTTTTTTTTCGACGTCTCGAGCTAAAACAATATAGGTTTCAATGGCACGTGATACATCATTTTAAAGCGTTTGAGTTTACACACGCAACCGTCACGTTGTGGTGCACCGCCACCATTTGTTTTCACCATTGTGAAAGCAATAGGCCCTTACCCCGTTCGGGGCTCGGGCAATTAAAATGTTCAGAGAGCCATTGCTCACAGTAGTTAAAGCTGCACTAACTGACTTTGGGATTTTGAAGCCGCGGACCCGCTGGCCTCTCTCTTTCTGCTCCCCTCCCCGCACCCACGAAGCTATCGCCCCCCACACACACTCACTGTTGGGACGGAGCTAGTGTCTCCCAATATGGATAATACATGAATATGGATTTGCACGTGGATGGCGTGACCATAAAACGATAGAACCGGGAAGCGCGGAGGAACGGGACTTTCTTTTGGATGGCTGTTTCGCTAAGTAAGCAGTAACCGGTGATGAAGACACGAAGCTTCAGGTTAGCTCCTCGGCTTGTTGTGCTAACTCAGCCGTCTATGCTAACGGACCTGTAGATTTCTCACAAAAGTGGGGGCTAGTGGTCCGCTGTGATTGGTCACAATCTGCGACCCGAAACACATTCTCTTCCTTGTTTCATCAAAACTCGATCTAAAATATAATGTCACGCCAGCACAAATCTGCGCTAATTATTCTTCAAAAGGACGTATATCCCAATGCACTACATGGACATGGATAGCATTTTCGTAATGAATACGAAAATAAAGTCAGTTAGTGCAGCTTTAATGTTGGAAGATTGTCCCTTTTGAACAATGGCTGTTCTCAGAAAGAAGGACCTGGGTTTGTATCAGAGTTGGACCAGGCCCTTTCTGAGTGGAGTTTGCATGTTCTCTCTGTGTCTGAATAGGTTGCCTCCAGGTGCTCTGGTTTCCTCCACCACTAAAAACTTGCACAGTTCAAGGGAAAATGAATGTGTTGTGAATACGACTGTGGGATTAGAAGAAGTCTGTTCATTAGGCCTGTGCACAATTTTGTTTTAGGTACGAGTACTTTTCACAATACCTGCTTTGTAAAATAACCTGCCGGTACCCTAATGTTCCTGACATGCACTGTGAAAACCAAAATTAAAAATGTACTGGTTTATTTTCTCCCCCCTTTAAAATTCTTTAAGAATGTGATTCATCATCTGCCATTTGATGTAAAGAAGAGACGTAATAACCTACCACTTATATGACTGTTTAGGCCAAAGAGCGAGTACTCCGAGATCGAAGAGGATGAAGTCCAGGCGCCTTATGATCCCAATGGGAAACCTGAAAGGTGAGCCACTGCAATGGGAATGTTCAAAGAAAGCATAATTGTTCTAGTCCACACATTTCCAAAAAAAATTCCTTTTGAATTACACGCGAGTCGCTTAATAATGAAAGAAGGATATTAAAAGTAAAAAAAAGTAAAACAATCTTATCGCAAGTGAACTAAATCATCGTTGTGCTTCTCATCCTCTTCACATTTGTTTTAAGAGCTCCATAGCCACCACCACACACTCTTGACTTGCCTAACTAGATCTGTAATGAGACGTTCAGACAGTTGACGCTTGAACACAGCTTCCGCGCGCACTAGACGCACATTCTCTAAATTTCAGATGAAGTATGAAGGTTATTTTGTGTTTTTATTATCAACTTTTTTTTGCTTTTTAATTATTTAAACTATAACAAAGTATTCAGTGTAAATAAATTCAATGTTTTAAAATTCAGTGTCCAAAAATACATAGTGGTCTGCGTGTTACATACCAACTGATGATGAGAAAACGCACTTACCGATTTGCTGTGGACACCATGTTCAGATGAACAAGAACAGTCGTGTTTTGGCCCTGGCTACATCTATGGAGGATTGGCTGATTGATAGCTTCGTTTTTTATTTACCCGGAATCAGAGGATGTACTTCCTGCGGCAGCTCAGGAAAGCCAAGCTGCCTGCACAGATGTTGGTGCAGTTCTACACGGCCATCACCTCCATCACCGTGTGGTTCGCTGGAGCCACAGTCAGGGACAAACAGAGACTACAGCGCATTGTGCGCTCTGCAGAGGAAGTGATCGGCCGCAGCCTTCCATCGCTGCAGGACCTGTACGTCGCTCGAGGCCGGGCTGGTGGTATCACAGCCGACCCCTCTCACCCTGCACATGGACTATTCCAACCACTCCCCTCAGGCAGGAGACTGCGGTCCATCAGGACTAGAACCTCCCGCCACAAGAACAGTTTCTTACCCTCTGCTGTTGGACTCTTGAACATATCTTAACCTGTCCCCCCGCCCTTTATAAAGTCACTTTACTGCCCATCATTCGTCACTTTACTTCACTGTACTGCTGTCACCTTACATTGTGTGCACCATGTGCACTTGTATATTGTAAACAGTAACTGTAACTCTATTTTAACTTTAAATATATTCCTTAGAAGTGTTTTTTATTCTTTTGTTTATTATCTCTTTCTGACTGTTGCACTGAGCCAAAGCAATTTCCATTCTGTGACTTCCTGTTACTTACGTGGCAATAAAAATGATTCTGATATCAAGCATGGCATTTCAACCAGCGAAAAAAATGCTTGAGTTTTTGGACACTGAATTTTTTTCAACATTGAATTTTTGGACACAGAATTTTTTCCACATAGAATTTTTTCCACATAGAATTTTAAAACATTTCATTTTTGGACACTGAATTTTTAAAACATTGAATTTATTTACACTGAATACTTTTTTGTTATAGTTTATATAATTCAAATGCAAAAAAAGTGTTGATAATAAAAACATAAAATAACCTTCATAGTTCAGACCAGAAGTTGTGGTCCGCGGTGGGGAAAAAAACCACAGGGCGGAAGTGGCGGGCCTTGATGTAATTGTAATAATTCTATTTTAAATTTCATACCGTAGAAGTGTATGCTAATTTTTATTATTCTTATTATGTCTTACTCTATTGTCTATTCTTTACCTCTCTTCTTTGACTGTTTCACTGAGCTAAAGCAATTTCCAAGTCTGACTTCCTTTTACTTACATGGCAACAAAAATGATTCGGATTTTGATAACAGCAGTAGGTACGGCATAACTTAATTTTATTATTAAACAATACTTCCGCATTGGAAAAAATAGCAGCAGTTGTTTAGAGTCACGAGAGCATGTGAACTCAGGGTGGAGGTATGGAAGATTTTTTTGTATCAGATTTAGATTTTTTTAATCTTGAATTTTTCCATTTGAAATTTTTGACCCTGAAAAAGCATGTTTGAATATTTTTGTCTTTGCATTTCAGTCACTAAAAATTAAGTTTACAAATTTCAATGTGATTAAAATTTTAAAAGGAATTTTAAATGGACCTGAATTCATCTATTTGAATTGTTTAACATCTTGAATAGTTTTGTCTGAGTTTCAGTCACTGATTATCAATTTCATAATGTGTTTAATTTAATTTCAACCGTCTAAATTCGCAGCGAAAAAATACAATGGTGACAAATGCACATGACACATCCGGAGTTGTGTACTGTCAGTTGGTCTGCGCATGCGCAAATGAACTTCCCTTTACTGAAGTCGGAATCTCTACTCGAGTGTCTCCTCGTTACTATGGACATATTTATATTAGTTTTTTGACAGTTAGTTATACTTTGTTTCGATGTGGATGAGATACATCTTAACTACAAATGAAACATAGGTGTGTGGGAGCTAAGTTTAGTTAGTTTGGTATTTTGCATGTAGCACAAACTGTATGGATTGTTACCAATTTGTATATTTTTTAAAAACTGGTAACATCTAGCGTTATTTGTTTGATTAATATTTTACGTAAGCCCCCGTAAGATCAAGGCTGTCCTCTCAGCGACAGAGATGCCTTCTGTGGACCCTCCACCTGAAGGAGGATCAGTGCTCTGTGAATTGGGTAGCAGCTGATAGCCAGATTTTGTTAACTTAGAATATTTACGTTACCGTAACTTTAAGAGAGAGAGAGGTTTTGCTTTGTTTACGGAGCGAATGGAGCCAAAAGAGCCATGGATCTATAATAATAACTGGATAGGGTATTACTAGCTTATAGCTGTCCCACCTATGGGCACAGGGGGCGCCCGTGGTACTGCCGATTAAATTCATGTGGGCTACCCATTAAAAAGTCCCATAGAACTCAATATAAACTAAAACAGCTTGACCTCAGCTGACAAAGAACCTGAGGTCAAGAATTTTGTGGGGATTTTAGTGTCCCTTGTCATCCTGACCTTAATTTCTTCTTAAATCCTACAGTTTTCTTTAAATCCACACTTTACTGACACAAGCAATCAATCCTTTATTATCTCACAGATGGAGAAATTCAGTTCGATGAACAAACTCCTTTCCTTCCCGTTCTGGCCCCGCTCTACCGCTGCTCTGATGTGCAGCTCTGATTGGTCAAAACGCGGCCGAGCCCCTCTGTGCACGTGCTTGAGAGCCAGAAACGCGTATTTTGCGCCACAACCGGGAGGACCAGACGATGCCCAAATATAGGCGAGTTCCGCTAATCTTTAGGTCCCCGTGAAGTCCCATGCGCTACTGAGCACAAGCCATTCATTTGAATAGGGCGCCATCTTGGATCTTTTTTGCTTTTCTTAATTTTTCACATTCCACATGTGTGATAATTATGGAGGTACACCATACAACACTCAACTTGTCAAATTATAGCCATCTCGTGCATAGAGGTGATTTCAGCTCATGTGAAACGCTTGGATATGTGCTCCTCGGTCTGTGAACCCGCCTCCCCCCACTCGTACGATGATGTAGCGTCACGCTAAGTTCCGAGGGAAACGAGCTAACGGTACAGCTTTCGCTGTTAGTCATATTACACCTGAGAATAAACTTTATCCAACAATGCCAACCCGTCACATGAAACCCTCTGTCCTCAATCCAGAATCAGACCCTAATTATTTAGCTCACAGACACACAGCGAGTTAGTTGCATTGTGCTCACATAGGCTCCTATTAGCATCTTTTATGTTGGAAATAACACTGTTTCCAGATCAGCTTTTGAGTAGGGCCTGTTCCAAGGGAACTCGTTCTGGAACAGTCTTTGGTGGTGTCACTTGCAAAAAACATCTGGGAGTTTCGTCACGGATTTTAGACTTGCGCGGATACGAGGCAGATATCTCCGTGAACAAAGTCGATCCCTATTTTCCGTCTTTGGTTAAATATTCGTCACATACTCGCACCAACAACACATTTTCTCCAAGTTGACATGAAGCTAATACAAAAAAAGCACAGACGCGTATTTACTGTCTATGGACCACACACTGGACTCGGAGAGAGGCTGCATGAGCTGCATAGACGGCGCTGATTTTCTGGTTTAGTTTCTCCCCGCTGTCAATCAGTGACGCTTTGACGTCACGGATTGTGCCACGTCACGATTTGAATCAGCTCGTTTCTGTGCCTCTCGAGAATGAAAGAGAAAGATCGCTCTCTAACTAAAGCTTGACGGAATCAATGAAAAAAACCACTCTGGGCATGTGTATGAAGGCCATATAGGCACTGTAATCATCTTTAAACCAGAGAAAAGTCCAAAAGCGTGATATGGGCCCTTTTTTAAAGTAGAGTAAAGTAAAAAAGCGTAATATTTTAAGTGGTTGACCGGCGCTTCCAGGTTTTTTAAAAGTTAGTTTATGTGTTCTTGTGAGTAGTTGTACCCGCAAATCAAAGGCGGAGGAGGCAGCCAGTGAGACCCGATTGAATGTATGGACTTTACATGCTGGCCGACTGTCAGCTCATGATGGCTTTGCTTGTGCAGGTTCTTCTACAACGTGGAGTCGTGTGGCTCTCTGCGGCCTGAGACCATCGTGATGTCGGCACTGGGCGTCCTAAAGAAGAAACTCAGCGACCTGCAAACTCAGCTGAGCCACGAGATTCAGAGTGACGTGCTGACCATCAACTGAGACACTTTTTATATTCTTTATTTTATTTTTTTAAATAAAATCATCAGACTTCAGATCACTGTCACCTTTTATTATTCCTATTTCTGCTTTAGGTCTTCACATGAATACTTTACACATACTTGAAGGAACTGTATGTAGTCTTAGTGGTGTGTTTGTATAGATGTACACAATTCTTATGGTTGTTTTGAAAGTGTTAAAGCAAGCGCACTGGCGGCCAGAGGTGTTTTTACTCTTGGTCCCAAATTCACTTTGGGACTATATAAACCACAAATCTTCAAAAACCACCTTCTGTGAACAACTCAACACCAATTTTAAACGTTGCAATCTTGTTCAGTTCAGGAATATCAGTCCATATCATAGACAAAGAGCACTTCTAAACATCTTATTTTAATTGTATTGTTTTACCTAATTATTTTTATATAGTAATGTTTGCAGTGTATTTGGCATTTCTACACCTTGCCTAGGGACTGCAGTTAGAAACTAGCTTACACATTTGCAGAAATGTTGATTAAGGTGTACTTTCCCAATTCAAACAAACCAATTAGTACATTAATAAATAAAAACTTATACGTATTAAATAGATAAAGTGATGGTGGCAAATGACCCCTCGGCTTATGGGGTAATAACGTTTAGTTTATCCCTAATTCTATCCATGGAGAAATAGAATTATGCATGCATTATACTTATGTTAGGATTTAGGCAGACAGAGACGGATCGTGGTGTGCCAAACTCTGGAAGTTTATTTACGTTTCTCTCAAGTTCCACTGGTTTCCTCTGTTTCTTTTCCTCAGACAGGATAAAGGCAGTACACAGTTTATATAGTCATTGTCACGTCACACATCGAAAGACATACGTGTCACAAAGAGACAGTCACATCATAGTCATAACATGGAGTCCTTGTAGAGTCCTTGTAGAGTCCTGCACGTAGGCCATATTGCTATCTAATACTAATACCCTCCCCTTTGATCACATAATCACATGTGATCACTCAATTTGATCAATCAATAAAATGGAAAAAGAAAAAAAAAAATTCCAAAAAAAAACTTCAAAAAATTATTAAAAACAAAGAAAATGTATGCATTAAACTCATAATCATCAAATCAATATCAGTGGATTTTATCCTCTATCCTGGGAAAAAAACAAACAAAAACAAAAAAAAAACACATCAAAAATAAAAACAAACAAACACTATTGGACACACAAGAACTCAGCAGATTCAGTCAAAACACAGACAAAAACGAGCTGAGTCTCAAATTTGAAGCTAATTTCACTTTTCTTACTCTATACTTTTATTCTAATGCTAATTGTTTACACTACACTCCACTGTATTATTTTCACTTTTCAATCTTAGACTGTGTACTTTACTTTTACTATTCACTATAGTTTAAAACTATTCTAATCTATTCACAAATATGTTTGCATATTTGCTTCTATTGAGCCATATTCTTAAACATACATTTTAATCTAACAAATCTCTCTTTAGTTTTACACTCTCATTATCAGTGGCATATTATCAGTGGGATTTTGTTCTATCTCTCTTCTACATTCTCAGGAATAAAACTGTGAACACAGTAAGGCAAATGGTCAACATTTACACTTCTATAGTGGTCAGTGATTTATTACTTTTTATTATCTAAAGATATTATTGTCAGGCAGTTTGGGATGAATGAACATCTTTAATCAAATTATTATTATCCTTACAAGAGCTAATCTATTTGAGCAGGTTTGGGGTTGGGGTCAGTTATTCTACAATGGTGTTTGTGCTGGAAACTTCTCAAAGATATCCAAATATCTACTATTGTTTTTATGCTATACCCAAATACATCAAAATGCTTTTAAATGCTTTTGAATCTCTGTTGGTTGTAATCTATCATTAATCTAGGCATTAATCTAGGCTACACTCATATGAACTTTTTGCATTGTCAACATTCACTCATGTTTGAACACAAGTGAATTTGGCAGTATCTAATAAAACTGTACATAAAACTGTAAGTAACTTTATCTACTTTTGAAGTAAATGCTTGTGAAATGGTCCCTTTACCATTTGATATTAGCACTGGCTAGAAATAATCTCTATTTTTGAAAGCATCTATGGTTGATCTCTCTATTTCTACACTATTGTGGCTCTAAAGCTTGGTTGCAGCTTGAGTCAAGGCATATTTCTACTCTAACTCTTATGTGGAAATGTTTATGAACAACAAAGGAAGGACAATTCTATTCTATTTTACTACTATTTAACATCTACTAAAACGCTACAATACTCATACTTTATCATTTTCAAAGTTTTTAACAGTTGCTCAGTCTACCAGACTAAAAAAGTCAAAGTTTTTGTCTGTCAGATGTCTGAATACTTAACATGTATATTGCATTTGGTCACAGTTTCTGGTTGTAGCAATAGCATCGGCAATAGACGTTTTCATTGGCTGGTTCTTGTTCTGCAAATGGCTGTGTCCAATAGATCATCAGATGTCCAGAAGCTAGGGACAAACAAAAACAAAAGAAAGAATCATGAGTATCTGTCTCATTTAGCACTCATCAATGTATGATTTCAAAAATATAAACATCACTCCCCAGTTTTCTCTCTCAGATCCTCAGGTCCTCAGGTCCTCAGGTCCCCTGAGGGTGAGTCTCAGTCGTCATCAGGTCAGGTCATCTTGGACATCAGTAGGGTCCAAGCCATGGTTCTGGTTCTGGTCTCCAGATGCACATCAGATCTCCAGATACAGTCTTTTCACTTGAAGCACATCAGGTCATTTGCGATGCACTTCTGGTCAATGGTGCAGTGTCTCAGTTCCTGTACACAGCTTGTAATGCAATAGTTACTTTCTATGGTTAAGTCACTTTGATTCTACTTTAAAGACAATTTCTATTCATGCTGTTGCTAATGTCCCTTAGACAAAAGCAAGCGCAGTTTACTTCTCTAATTTGTGTTTTTATCAGATCTAATTCTAATCAATGTAATTACTTCACACAGTACAAAATCAACAAATCAAAAGTGTCAGGACAGACGTCAATTAAGTCCATGACAATATAGAATTCAAATGAACATTTCTGGTCTCAAAAAATACTGATTCAAATAAAGATTCAAGTGATAGACAATTAAAAATGTGTTTACATTGGAGTAAACTTTTAATTCTTTTTTTCTCATGTTCTGCTTTTTCATGTATCTATATGTAAATGTGAATGTGTGAGTGTATGTGTGTGTGTATGTGTGTGTAGGTGTATGTGAATTTTGGGGTTGTGTCTCAAGACTCCTCGAACCACCTGTAGGTGTCAAAGGTCACACTGTGGTGATGCAAACCAACTGGACACACTTTCAACTCCCTCTAGGTCTCTACCTGACGCTCCACCCATCACGTCTCCAGATACCTCTCTTTCATGGCCCCGGTCTCACTCCCACTTACTTCTGTAGTGGGGGGAGGGGCAAGGAGGTGGCATTTCCCTTTGCTCTTAGCTCTGTGACCTGTGGCTGGGTGGGCTTTGCGCTGTCCAGTGTCCAGCAGTGACCCCTCCCACAGTGTGCCAGAGTCTGAAAAACAATCCTTGAAACAGCCAATTCAAAAAACAATAGATATCAGTATGCGAATGAGATTGTTTTTCTCTCTGAAGTCAAAACAATTTGAGCGCTCTGGGTTTTCCCAAGCGCTATGTAAATAAAGATTACTTATTATCTTACTAATGATGACATTTAAAACCAGAAACTCTCAATATAAAAAACAAGACTCAAATCTCTTAAACCTTCTTAAACTTTAAAATATGTATTATGTACTTTTGTACTGTGTGATGTTTTTAATCTTGAACATCTTGGGTTTCACTTTATGGACTTTCCCTTTTACACTTATTTATCTCAGCATCTATTCTACTAATTTAAAATAATTGCAGCATTTTTCAAATGAAGTCAGTATGAATTGGAGCACATTTTAGACCAGGCTCCTGTGCTGCGTGCATCTGCAGCAGGAGGAAGGTCAGGTGCATAGTCAAAACAAAAACAAAAGTCACCACTTGAATGTGAATTGGGTGAATTGGGTAGTTTAACTTAATAATATAATACTTTTACAGCCTAATTCCCTCTTTCTTTTTTAGACGAAGTCTACAATCATTAATCACTTTTAACAGATTCTAATTTAAATGTTTGAAAAACGGCTTTTGTAACTAAAATAAAAAATACATGAAAAAATTCTCACAAACAGCTATGAAATATATCAGAGATACAATAATGGACTCACAAAATAAGCAGCAGATTTAAAAAGAAAAGCAAAGCTTTTTGTACTAATCTTTGGGTTTCAAAAACATACTAATTCAAAACTTCTATTCCCTAATGGTGTTTAAAAACGTTTAACTGTGTCTAACACAATGTTCAAATGGCAAATTTAGCAAATTTAACGGAATAACTACTATGAAAAGCCAAATTCCTAAAGCAGTAGCTCCCCTTTAAATCAGAGCAGCAGCTCAGCAGCAGCGAGGGCGGGGGGGTTCCTTTCACACAGACGCGCACACACAGGCAGAAAGACACAGAAGAAGAACTTTCAAGATTAATTTTTTAAGCGAATATAACTGATGTTGTTCTTTATACTTTTGTCATCCAAATCTAGAAGTGATCACTTTCCACACTAGTAACAAAAGGCACTCTTTAGTGTTTAACGTTTCCCTTTTTATAATTACTTTTAATTCACCATGGTTTCTCTCAAAGGGACTTTAACCCTGAAGCTTCTTCTCAAAGGGACTTTAACCCCGAGGCTTTTCTCAAAGGGACTTTAACCCCGAGACTTTCTCAAAGGGACTTTAACCCCGAGGCTCAAAGGGACTTTAACCCCCGAGACTTTCTCAAAGGGACTTTAACCCCGAGGCTCAAAGGGACTTTAACCCCGAGACTTCTTCAAAATACAATTTAGAGAGTTTGACAGACCCCAAAAAACAGACCAAAATTTAGCTAATATCCAATTATGCAGACTTTACATATTAAAAAAGGTGTCTGCTTACCTTATTCTTGTCAAACCGGTTCCAAGGACTGTCCGAGAGGTCTGCCAACTCTTTTCCGCGTCGGAATATTCAATTTAAAAAACAAAACAGAGAAAGTGAGGGAGCAAGAGCAAGCCCATCCAAAAGCGAGCCCTTTCAGCGTCCGCTGGGATTTCTCCCCTTCCAGATAACGTGCTGTTGCTCCCACACGCCGAAAAAAAGAAACAGAGGAAATTCTCTCAAAACAATCCAGAGAATGGCACAAACCGAGCCGCGCATTCTCCACCAAATCTGTAAGGATTTAGCAGAGAGAGACGGATCGTGGTGTGCCAAACTCTGGAAGTTTATTTACGTTTCTCTCAAGTTCCACTGGTTTCCTCTGTTTCTTTTCCTCAGACAGAATAAAGGCAGTACACAGTTTATATAGTCATTGTCACGTCACACATCGAAAGACATACGTGTCACAAAGAGACAGTCACATCATAGTCATAACATGGAGTCCTTGTAGAGTCCTTGTAGAGTCCTGCACGTAGGCCATATTGCTATCTAATACTAATACCTATATACTATATACATGAACGCATTCATGTTTATCATGCGCCCATGGCATTATTATAGATCCATGGAGCGAGCCCATAGACCAGCGAGCCCATGCCTCATACCCATAATCCTTTGCTGATTAAAAAAAGCTCTGGTCCGCTCTGGTCACGTGGTTATTGGACTAAGGCGGAAATGGAAGACAACTAGCGAGAGAAACATCAGCTGTTAAAGGTATGTCCCATGGTCTGTCCCATGGTCTGTCCCATGGCTTGTCCCTCAGACTCCTCTGTGCGTTGTGTATGGGGTGACCCCAGGAGTGTACTGTCTCCCGGGCTACAGCTTTCTTCCCAACCGGAGAGAGTAGCCTGTTTGGGGGAGAGCTAACTGCTAGCTACATAGACAAAGATATTTCATGTAAAACAGAACAGAACTGAATCTGACCAAATCTAAGCGAATGTGGTCTAAGTATGAGGTGAGTGCGCTGGCTTGACGCGACATGTCCTTATCACGAACAAGATGAAGATCCCTCAGATATGCTGCCTCACTATTGCAGAGAAAATGATCAAATAAGAAATATGATGAACAATTTTTCATTTATTCTTTATAGGGCGATACAGTATTAATAGTGACAGGCTGAGTGGAGTACTGTTGGAGGCGGTTATAGTTTTAGTTCAGAACAGTCAGATTAAAGCAGTGACCCTGAAAAGTATCTGAGGAGAATGTCATGTTTGGGATGATTTTTCTGTGTTTCAGAGTGGTGATGTCATGGCTGCAGCTCAAACCACGGAGAAGTCCCAGATTACCCTCACAGGTACAAATACCACGACCTTTTTTGCACTATTCTGCAGTCTGGAAACAAGCACATGGACACTCAAAAACATAAAGGGCTCTATCACCAAAGTGATAGTAGAAAAGTGTTTAATGGGCTCCTTTTCAGGCAGATTAGTGTAGCACTCACTCCTTGGTACACACATTCAAAAAACCGTGTACCTCGCAAGACTTGCTGCTGAATACTTGTGCAGGCACAACTCTTTGGTTTTCTTTAAAAAAAAAAAAGAAAAACCCAGAATTGTGTATTTTGCTTTTGCGGTTGTTTGTTACTTGTGTTTGAACAGTCCGTAAAAGAAAATCAAAATAAAATCTTCATGTTTGGTGTAAACATAGCAAAATGTCCAAAAGTTCAAGCTGTATTAAGAGTTTTGGAAAGTACTGCACATAGACTGACTGATGTGCAGTTAATTTTTTAGATAGGGGTGACTGTGGTTTGCAACTGTGACTGAATTCGGCCCAGTTTTAAGTTAACACAAGATGACCTGTTTAATCAGCTATGCCTCTATCACATAGAGCATGATATCAGCCTCTGTCACATATGAAGAACAACATAATTATAAGGACAGACTAAAAGTTCTACTGTTTCTGAGTTTATAAAGTGTATTAAAGCCTTTTCTGCAACTTGTGTATTAAAACATTGATTGGATTCAAATTCAGATTCATTTATTTGCCATTTGCAGTAAAACCACATTGGAATATTTTTTTTAAGTCCCCAGTGTGCACAAGAAAAGTACATACATAAAACAACATTAAAAGTACAGAAATAAAACAAACAAAACAGTAAACAGTTGTCACTGTGTAATCGATCGACAAACAGTTTCAATAACCGTGCTCTGTTCAAACTGATAACACCTTGGGGGAAGAAGCTGTTCGAATATCAAGATGTCCTGCATCTCATTATTATTCACTGATTATTCTTCAGATCAGTGATTTTATGAAATGTTTGGGCCTCATATCTCCTTTATGTCTCTAGATTGAGGGATAGATGGCTATAGTTTGGACACTCCTAACAATGTTTAGGATTTTCCTTTCATAAATCACTGTTTTTTTGGATCCAAAATGTCATATAGGAGACAAAGGGATATTTTTTTCAAGTGAAATACAGTTTTTATCATTCATAGAAAGTGTGCGAGGTATTATTTAAACCAAATGTATAATTTTAGCCACCCTTTTTGTTTAATTTCATTTGCCTTTAGCAATATTTTTTGGTACTCAGAATTGGTTTTGTAACCTCATTGACCCTCGACCTCATACACAGGTGGATCAAATTCAATTCAATTCACTTTATTCTTGTATAGCCCTAAATCACAACAGCAGTCATCACAGAGGACTTGACAGAACCGTTGAAATCGCCAACACAGATCTGAGAATCAACAGTTAAGACTCAAAGTATAAAACACATAGTTATTGGTCCGTAGGGAGAGACCAATGTCAATGAAGGTTGATAAATGTCCATACATGTTGTAGAATTTGAAGCCGCTTTTCCACAGCAATGGTACGGCACAGCACTGCGCGGTTATTTTGCATTTCCACTAAGGTTGGGCCTGGATGGAATAAGTGTACTTTTTTCATACCACCTCGACAGTGGTTCCAACCGTACCGAAGCGATACCATAACGTGACGTCAGCTGACTACCTTACACTGATTGGTCAACGAGTGTCGTCACTGGAAGCGACGTCCGACCCTACGGTAAAAACAACTCGACCCCGCCATCTTTAAAACTGACTGCTCTAACAGTCTGCTTCAATATGTCCTCCTCACTCCAGAGAAATGGAATGGCACAGAAATCCCCGAAAGTCAACGTCCTGGTCGGTCAACGAGGTCCACACGTCTCTTTAGAAGCCGGAGAAAGAATTCAAAGGGAGCTCGACGACACAACACAGAATGAGAAGATTTTCAGGGAGATTGCCCAGCTATTGATTTGTGGCTTTAGTCTGTGGTAATCCTGGAAATAACTGGTTAGCTATGTATCCCGTTGGTGCAACGCTCTCACTGAAACATATTTTCTCTTGTAATAGTTTAATTGTCTGTTAGGGCTGAACGATATAAACGGTATAAGCGGTATGCAAGAAAAAATGTGCCAACGGTCAAGATTTTTGTTATACCGGCATTTTGCGATAGGTCATTATGTCATCAAATTTCTGGGTTGCATGTGACGAAAGTGCTCTGAGGGACAGGAAGTAAATTTCCCCACTAAGAACAATGTAAAAATCCACTGATTCAGAGTTAAAATGCTCTGTTTCTGTGGCGTGTACAGTTGTGGCAACTACTCATATCAAGTGGGGAACATATGGAGTCTCTGCTTTGCTAAAAAATATTTCTCTAACGGGTGTCCATTTTTAGGAAAATGCCTAATAAGGAACGGGAGAAATGCGCTAGCATTAGCATTAGCCTGCGTAGCATCTGCGGCCACAGACACAGCTGACAGTCCGCAGTCTTTACTTTGCTTACTTTCATAGATGCAATGCAGTATTTTTGTGTGGTATACGGTTGTAATAACCGAGGCAACATAAAGAAAGAACTGTTAAATACATTTTCTAATTGCAGCCCTCGCTGTTAGCTTACTGCTGTTAGCTTACTGCTGTTAGCTTACTGCTGTTAGCTTACTGCTGTTAGCTTACTGGCATTAGCTTAACACTTTTTGTTATTTACAGCTCAACAAATCACCGAAATGACGAGGGTCATATTTCTCGCTTCAAATGTTGTCTAAAGTAAAGTATCTCTCATTGTTGAAAAAAGTGGACTCATTCAAACACTACAAAGCGTACGCTGCATTAAAAAGTTTTCACTCATAAGAGTGGTACTAAGCCGCAAAAAGCTCCCATGTCTCCGTTTTCCAGCATTGCCCATTCTATTTAAAGCTGCACTAACTGACTTTATTTTCGTATTAATTACGAAAATGCTATCCATGTCCATGTAGTGCATTGGGATATACGTCCTTTTGAAGAAAAAGTAGCGCAGATTTGTGCTGGCCTGACATTATATTTTTGATCGAGTTTTGATGAAACAAGGAAGAGAATGTGTTTCGGGTCGCAGATTGTGACCAATCACAGCGCACCACTAGCCCCCACTTTCGTGAGAAATCTCCAGGTCCGTTAGCACAGACAGCTGAGTTAGCACAACAAGCGGCGGAGCTAACCTGAAACTTTCTCGTCTTCGTCACCGGGTACTGCTTACACAGCGAAACAGCCATCCAAAAGAAAGTCTCGTTCCTCCGCGCTTCCCGGTTCTATCGTTCTATGGTCACGCCATCCACGTGAAAATCCATGTCCATGTATTATCCATATTGGGAGAGGCTTGCTCCGTCTCAACACTGTGTGTGTGGGGGGGGCGATAGCTTCGTGGGTGCGGGGAGGGGAGCAGAAAGAGCGAGCCCAGCGAGTCCGCGGCTTCAAAATCCCAAAGTCAGTTAGTGCAGCTTTAATAGGAGAAAAATACTTCCTGTCCTACAGACCCATGCCCCGCCCCTTTTGGTCACGTGGTTGCAACCTAGCAATACTGCTTGGAAGTTAAAGTTTTACAATGTTCTCTATAATTGCAGTTTTGCACAATACATTTTAAATAAGTAACAATCTGGACTATTTTATACAAGAACCTGCTAGACCTATTTTGAAATTCACACAAAAAATTATACTGCAATATATACCGCCTGTGTCCCAAAAATACCGCAATATGATTTTTAGGCCATATCGCCCACCTCTATTGTTTGTTGTGCACAGTGAGCTTGCCACATTCAGCTATTGATTACAAGCTAAGCTAAAAACATCCTTCCTGTGCTGTATTATGCTCTCTCACGTGTTGCCATTCTGTTTTGTGCTTGTACTTGAGTTGTCGTGTGTGTATATGTAGCTGTATATGTGTGAATGTATGTTATTTGTTTGAGAATCTCTTCCCACAAGTGAGATTACCAACGAACAATGAGTCACCACTCGTCTCACCTGGTCTCACCTGGTCTCACCTGGTCTCAATAGATACGTACTTTGGCTTTTGTAAATTGTTGGTTTTTCTCTTTTCTTTTGTTTTTAATACATGTGTGATTGTATCAAGACTTTGTTTCATTCATTTGTCTGAACACATGCAGAAAAGGGGTTAAAACGCAAAATTTACGATTTCCTACCATATACAGCTACTCTTCTTTCTATATACATTACATACATTATGTATGTCAATAAATCCGTATAATCTTGGTAAATTTATAAACGAGGATGGAGACCTGTGCTAAATACAAAGCTTTTACTTTTGGTCAAATTAAATGTTTAGGCATGACAAAAAGTGATGCATCAGATAACATCTCTGCCCTCCTCTGGACCACTGCTACCACAAGCTGCTGTTACTACATGTGGGTTCCATTCTGTCACATGGTCATGGTTTTCGCACAGATTGTGCAGAGCACAGCAAGTCATCACAACCATTGACTTCAGAAGTTCAGTGTCCGAGTCATTTCTTTGAGACATTTTCAACAACCACTCGCGTTGTGCTGAATTTCCTATTAAATATTTGCTGTTAATCTGTCACTCGCCTGGTGTCCTGAAAAGGTTTTAGGAGCCAGTTCTGCAGGGGGTAAACAGAGTCCCCTGGGAGGTAATAGCAGCAGTCAACGATTTTATAATACATCCATTATTATAGATCCATGCATGCATATACCCCATCAAAGTTACGCAAGTGGAAGTACGCCGTTTTAGTTGGTATTTATGCCAATTCTAAGTATTTCTCCTCTTTGCGTCTTCTCTAGAGAGGCCACATGGGAGCTCCTAAACATCTCACCTGAAAACAAAGATGGTTCAACATCATGGGAAGGATACAAACAGCCATCAGAGATTTAAATATCCAGTTTTAACTGTGGAGCATTGTGAGGAATTGGAAGACCACAGACATAGTTCTATTTAATTTGTGCAAAAGGACAATCATAAAAATAGGGGTGCCCAAACTTTTTTCACACCATTGTATATTTCTCAATTGACATGCACAGTATAAGTACAGTCATCGAAGTTGTGTTTTTGTTATAGGATACTAAGAATGCAACACAGTCGTATGCTAAAATAATAGTTATAATAATAGAGACATGAAATTCCTTTCCCATTTCCTCCATGTAACTATGTAGCTATATTTGTATTGTCCTTGTCATGGCAGATTGATCTTAATAGATATACCTTTATTGTCCCCTGAGGCAAATTTATTTCCACAGACACTGTCTCGTACAGTACAGACCAAAAGTTTGGACACACCTTCTCATTCAAAGTTTTTTATTTCCATGATTATGAAAATTGTAGATTCACACTGAAGGCATCAAAAATATGAATTCACTCATGTGGAATTATGTACATAAAAAAAAGTATGAAACAGCTGAAAATATGTCTTTATATTCTAGGCTCTTCAAAGTAGCAACTTTTTCTCTGATTACTGCTTCACACACTCACACACACTGGCATTCTCTTGATCAGCTTCAAGAGGACCTGAAATGGTCTGAGCTCCAAAACCATCTGGATTGGGTTCAGGTCCGGTGACTGGAGGCCGGGTCATCTGGCCCAGCACCCACCACTTTCCTTATTGGTCAAATAGCCCTTACACAGCCTAGGTGTGAATCTACAGTCAATGGTCATGAAAAGAAAGGAACCTCATTTAATGAGAAAGTGTGTTCAAACTTTTGGTCTGTACTGTACATTGAATGGAAGGAAGTTACAATACAATACGATATACATGCAATACAGGGCCATGGACAACATTACAGGTTAAGTGCAGCTCTTTCTGAAGGGAAAAAATTCTATTCAATTCAATTTATTCTTGTATAGCTCTAAATCATAATAGTAGTCATCTCAGAGGACCGTTGAAATCGTCAACACAGATCAGAGAATCAACAGTTAAGACATACAAAATATAGAACATACAGTGGGGCAAAAAAGTATTTAGTCAGCCACCGATTGTCCAAGTTCTCCCACTTAAAATAATGACAGAGGTCTGTAATTTTCATCATAGGTGCACTTCAACTGTGAGAGACAGAATGTGAAAAAAAACTACAGGAATTCAAATTGTAGGATTTTTAAATAATTTATTTGTAAATTATGGTGGAAAATAAGTATTTGGTCACTTCAAACAAGGAAGATCTCTGGCTCTCACAGACCTGTAACTTCTTCTTTAAGAAGCTCTTCTGTCCTCCACTTGTTACCTGTATTAATGGCACCTGTTTGAACTTGTTATCTGTATAAAAGACACCTGTCCACAGCCTCAAACAGTCAGACTCCAAACTCCACTATGGCCAAGACCAAAGAGCTGTCGAAGGACACCAGGAAAAGAATTGTAGACCTGTACCAGACTGGAAAGAGTGAATCGACAATAGGCAAGCAGCTTTGGTGTGAACAAATCAACTGTGGGAGCACTTATCAGAAAATGGAAGACATACAAGACCACTGATAATCTCCCTCAATCGCAAGATCTCATCCCGTGGGGTCAAAATGATCATGGGAACGGTGATCAAAAATCCCAGAGGCACACGGGGAGACCTGGTGAATGACCTGTAGAGAGCTGGGACCAAAGGTTAACATCAGTAACTAACTATGACGACAGGGAATCAAATCCTGCAGTGCCAGACGTGTGCCCCTGCTGAAGCCAGTGCATGTCCAGGCCTGTCTGAAGTTTGCCAGAGAGCACATGGATGATACAGCAGAGGATTGGGAGAATGTCATGTGGTCAGATGAAACCAAAGTAGAACTGTTTGGTATAAACTCAACTCGTCGTGTTTGGAGGAAAAATAATACTGAGTTGCATTCCAAGAACACCATACCTACTGTGAAGCATGGGGGCTGTTTTTCTGCTAAGGGGACAGGACGACTGATCCGTGTTAAGGAAAGAATGAATGGGGCCAGGTCTCGTGAGATTTTGAGCCAAAACCTCCTTCCAGAGCTTTGAAGATGAAACGTGGCTGGGTCTTTCAGAATGACAATGATCCCAAACACACCGCCATGGCAACGAAGGAGAGGCTCCGTAAGAAGCATTTGAAAGTCCTGGAGTGGCCTAGCCAGTCTCCAGACCTCAACCCCATTGAATATCTGTGGAGGGAGTTGAAAGTCCGTGTTCACTGCTCTCGAGAAGATCTGCATGGAGGAATGGACCAAAATACCAGCTACTGTGTGTGCGCAAACCTGGTAAAGACCTATAGTAATCGTTTGACCTCTGTTATTGCCAACAAAGGTTATATTACCAAGTATTGAGTTGAATTTTTGTTATTGACCAAATACTTATTTTCCAACATAATTTACAAAAAAATCCTACAATGTGAATTCCTGGATTTTTTTTCACATTCTGTCTCTCACAATTGAAGTGTACCTATTATGAAAATTACAGACCTCTGTCTTTATTTTAAGTGGGAGAACTTGCACAATTGGTGGCTGACTAAATACTTTTTTGCCCCACTGTAGGTATTGGTCCATAGAGATTTGACCAATGTTGACAAATGTCCATACATGTAGAGTGTTAGTGTCCTGGATCAATACTACTATAGATCCAGGACCTAAGCTATAGAACGAGGACCAAGGCCACGTAGCGGTTGTGGAACGAGGACAGGTGCGGTGCAGGACTGAAGCAACTCCCTGGCGGGAGGGGGTGCAGCCCACAGGCCAGGGCAGGGCAGTCCACAAGTGTAGATGGAGGGGGCCAGGATCAGAGGTCCCGTCGTCACGCCATGAACCAGACAATGGGACAACGGGTGAATAGCAATGAACAGACTACAGTCAAAATCCTATGAATGCAGACAGATATAGTAGGAAGGAGGAGAGGATAGTGCTCAAGTTGCCATACTTGTCCCAGCCAACTGAGTCCCAGCTTTACTCAAATCTAGCTGCTTCCACCTTAACATTTTGTATCTGCTAACTTGGGTGGAGAAGGGTTCAGAAGATGGTCTGAGCCTCTGCTAAATACCGGGCCATGCGTGTTACTGCTGATTGGTTAAGGCGGGAGAGGTCTGTGGGAGATTGATTATTTTAGATGCTGTGTGGGTGTGCGTTTATTTCTGTTGGTGATGGAGAGCATGTTACAGGGAGAGCAATCATGTATAGTTTCAGTAGGAGATCTGGAGAGACCTCCTAATTGGAAATTCTTAAATGCAATTGAGTGATTTGGATAGAGGTAATGTGTCTCTGCTGATCTGGGATGGTTTTACGGTTTCAGTCATGCGGTTTACCCCTGGCCTTGGAAAAAGTGGAAGAAATCCTATTTACAAAATAAATTATGCCACACAGTATATCCGATGCTGCCTTATGGAGCCAACTCATCTCATCTTCAAATAAGTAATTAGATTGACATTAACTTCTCATGGTTGATTTTTAAGTAATGTGTATCTTGCGTGCAGTGGTGTCGGCGAAGCCTCAGTCTCCGAAGCTTCCAAGTCGCCAGTCACGCCTCAGCACGTTTGTGGAGGTGACAGCAGATGGCCTGAGCAGTGAGAGTAAGAAAACCAGCAAACGGAGTGGCCATGTGGAGCTGCAGTGGAATGAAGACCTGATGCTGTGAGCTACACACACCTTTTACTACTTTATACTATGTTTAAATACTATAACCCCACTCAGATACATCCCAGAAACTATCCATACTTCATTCCAAACTGACTGAAAGGTTTTGAGGGACTATATTGTAAAATATAGCAATTTCAGTGATTCAGCCCTACTGCTACCTACCTACCTACCTACAGTGTTGGCAAAAAAAATTGTCACCAATTGTGAAGTTCTTTGAGAGAAAGAATGAGACAAAAATTAATAAAATCACATCACATTGCTGGTTGGGATGGCCGATATTGATATCCGATATCTTCTTTCTGTTTTATGATATGATAAAAAGTTTTTACATACTGAATTTCTTCCTCTATTTTCAGAATGTATTTTATTTGCGTTAGAATAGATGCGGGAAAACGCACGCCCATGCCGGAGCAGGAGCTTTTTGTGGCTTAGTATTTTGAGTAAAAACTGTTTTCAATGCAGCATTGTAGTAATGGATAAAAATTAGGGCTGTCAAACTATTAGAATTTTAATTGAGTTAATTACAGCCTAAATAGCCAAAGTTATGCCATATTACTTTGTAAATGGTTGAAAATTCGAATAAAATGGCATTAACATTATTAACATTCATTCTTTCTGTAGTAGACAGTATTTCTAATAATAAAAAAAAAAGCAGTAGCTTAAAACTGTTTACTGTCTAAGTGTACCTGATTTATTTTCTAATGAGTTCCTAAAAATGTGTACATACAAGTTGTATTAAAACCCATAAATGAATTGAAAAATGTAGCTAATTGATTCAGCTTCTGTATGAATTCAGGCCATCAAAAAGAGCCGAGTAGAAACTTTGCGTGACGCTCGTTCTTCTCCACTATACCTGCTCGGACTGTAACTGCATACACATCAAAACCAGTGGGGGCGGGGTCCCAGCTCAAAAGTGGCTCACTGGATGGGTTTCAGACGGACCGATTGTACTGGAGCACCGCGCTAGTTCCAGGCTTGTTAGCCGCACCTCCCTCAGAGAAACACTGTTCCCACCGCTATCTCTGTGCAAAGTGTCTAAAATTTGTGTTTGGTGCGGTACTACACTCACACGCTGCTGCAGCTGCACTCGCTTCGCTACGGTTTCGTGGCACAGTGAACATGAACAAAGACGCTGATGAGAACGCGTTGGTTGGTTTCTAAATATGGTATTACTACACTTAATGGCAAATATTGCACTGGTCTGTTTGACTTGACAAAAATAAACAATATTTTTGTTACTTAAAGACCTTATGTCGGGTTTAAAAAAAAAAATTGTGGATATCAAAATTGCATTACAATGTCGATCTGAAATAGATTCTAGCAAAAAAAATCCTATATTTCATAAAAAAGAACGTGTTTTTCATGAATTTCAGTTGTCTATGCTCTAACCTGTGTGTGACGTCATAGCGGGTAACGCCCATGCATTAAAAACCATGGATCTATTTTTATATATTTATTTATTTTATATTATTATTATTATTATGCCACAGGACTGCCTTTTCTCTCTTCTCTCCACTCATGCCCAACACAATACTGCACTCTACAGGTGACAATTGCTCACTACACATAAATTGCTGTTTTGAGAGTGAAAATGTGTTTGAGGTGGGATTTAAACCCCAGTATCTGGATTGGCAGGGCATCGACACAACCCCTGGACTATCTCAGTGCCAATGAAGGGTTACAATCTAGTAGTAATTTCAGACTCGCTGTACACGGCCTTTGTCATCTTGAATATCCCGAAAAAAGAACGAATACCAAATTGTAAACAACTTACAGCCTTGAAACGTACCCACTCTGACGTCACCAAGGGCTGTGAAGTTTTTTCGTCTCTAAGGGCGTTGCTATGGGGTTATTTCGATTTGGGGGGGATCAGACAAAAAAAACAACTGATTTTGAAACCTTTAGTAGTTCTCTTCTAATATAAAATGGTATTAAAACTGTATTTTTAAATAAATCAAACCCTGCATAAGGTCTTTAAGCTTATGTATTAAGTTATTATTCAATGTTATGTGAGATTTCTTTTTTTTTTTTTTTCATAAGATCCACAGTTTTTATTATTATATCGTATTATTGTTATAATTATTCAAATATATATATATATATATATATATATATATATATATATAATTATCGCCTATATGAGAAAAATATTCTCAAGACTAATTTCTTTCTTTCTGAGCACTCAAAACCTCGAATTATATATTTTAGGGCCTCAAACCTGTGCTGTGGGCCTCAAACCTCTCTGGGCCTCAAACCTCTCTGGGCGCCTCAAACATCTCTGGGCCTCAAACCTCTCTGTGGGCCTTTAACCCTTGGGCCTTTGACCCTTTTCCTCTGCAGGTAGCTAACTTCTCTTCAATACAATCCTATCTATAGATAAAACATTTGGCAGACCCCGAAAACAGACCACAATTTAGCTTACTCAATGAGGCAGACTTTGAATTAACAGGTGTCCGCTTACCTTTGTCGAACAGGGCCCAGGTGCTGTCCAGAGGTCCACCAAATACCAGCTTTTTCCACGGCCAACCGGGGTCTCTCAGATCATGAAACAATACTCACTAGTACCGGGAACTAGTTTCCATCGGCTGAGAAATATCACACGTCAGAAATCCCTGAAATACAGACATGGAAAAATAAATTTAAATACTAAAACAGTCAGAAAGGTCAATGAGAGAGCAAAGATGTTTCTTTGTTTCCGAACCGACCACTTCTCCAGCCAGCTGGAACAGCGTCTGTCCCAGATAGTCTCAGCTCTCTCACGCTGAAAAAACCAATTTCAAAACAACCAGGGCAAAAGTGTCTCAGTCCCGCATTCCTCCACCAAATCTGTCGAAAATCAGACGCATAGGCAGGGATCTTTGCACACCAGAGCAACCTGGAAGTTTATTCACAACAGGCGGTAGATTCAGGCAGAACAATAAACAGGGAAACATTATATATTGGAATTTGCGTCATCATGAAAGAGCCAAACCCAGGCGTCAGTCAGCTAAAACAACCGATACACAATCGTAGCAGATATACAATCAAAGAACATTGTGTGTCTTGTACTTCTATTTTATCTTGTTTTTGTACTACTATATAGGCCATGGCCTTCTATTGTTCATAGTTATACTAAAAATTCATGTGAAAAAATTACTTCTCACTGTTCTCAGGTCAAATAATTATGTGTGATTAAAATGTGATTAATTGCAATTCATTAATTACAAAACCTCTAATTAATTAGATTAAAAAAAAAAAATCGAGTCCCAGCCCTATACATACATAAAAAATAAATAAAAAAAAACAAGTAAATAAAGGGGTGGAGATTAAATCCTGATAATATTCAAAATAAATCAATAAACGATTGCTACTTTTTCAAAATTTCCCCACTGTGGGACGAATAAAGGAATTCTTATCTTATCTTTTTATAAAAATCTGCTCAGGCTGCCATGTCTAGAATACAAAGTGTGACAAAGTGTTTTGGATGGTGCATTAGTGGATTTCCAATGAAGGAGGAGATGGCGTCTCGCCATCAGAGACGTTATCGCCAAAACCTCCTACTGTATAGATGAAAAATGGGCGGGTTCTCTAGGGAATCCAAAAATGGCTATATATGGGGAATTAGGAACTGTCTTGAGAAGTACCTTAGACATGTTTTCGAAATAAGATTGCCAAAAATCTACCAAAGTCGGCAGGAGAAGAACATGTGGGTGAGATTGCAGGGAGAGCCCGGACATCTCCCTGCCCGATAGATGTTCGGGCAAGGTGAGCTCGAACATCTATTGGGCTCTCCCAATAGGCGAACCAATTTATTTGAAAAAAATCGGTTAGCCCAATTTATTTCAAATTTTCACTGTATTTGAAAAAAATCGGGCTAACAGAGTTTTGGAGTAATGGCATCTAAACACAACCTTAAATTGTATTAACTGTAAATGGGTCTTGTGGATAATACTTAATGCCGAATCCCACCACTGTTCATCAAAAATCAGCCCCAGCTCACGCTCCCAAGCGTGCCGTTCCATAAAAAGTGAGTCAATATTTTTGAAAAACTGATTCGATAGAATAAAGGGTATACACTGAAATAAGAACAAGAATTTCGGAAGGACATTCATCTTGACCGCATTAATTCGCCCGATCAAAGAAAGGGGGAGGGAACCCATCTCTGAAAGTTTGCCTTTATATCAGTCAGTAAAGGGGAAAAATTTAGATTTTAGAGTGTGAAGAGATTCATAGGATCTGCCAACTTTTACCCCTAAGTATTTATAATCCTGAAGGACTCAACTTGAATGGAATGTCAGGTTGTACAAGCTGCAATGCTAGAGAGTTGATCGGGTAACACTAACTCTTCGTAACATTAACTTTGTATCCTGAAAACAAGCCAAATCTAAGAAACAATGAATGAAAGAAATGAAGAATGGGACATGCAGTGACGGGGTCTGTGACATATAACAAAAGATCGTCAGCATATAAAGAGAGTTTGAATTCTGTCCGCAATCTTCTAATGCCATTGAAAATATGAAAAGATCTCAAGTAAATGGATAAAGGTTCGATAGCGAGCGCAAAGAAGAGTGGAGAAAGGGGACAACCTTATCTACAGCCACAACTTAAAGCTGCACTAACTGACTTTGGGATTTTGAAGCCGCGGACCCGCTGGCCTCGCTCTTTCTGCTCCCCTCCCCGCACCCACGAAGCTATCGCCCCCCACACACACAGTGTTGGGACGGAGCTAGCGTCTCCCAATATGGATAATACATGGATATGGATTTACACGTGGATGGCGTGACCATAAAACGATAGAACCGGGAAGCGCGGAGGAACGGGACTTTCTTTTGGATGGCTGTTTCGCTGTGTAAGCAGTAACCGGTGATGAAGACACGAAGCTTCAGGTTAGCTCCTCGGCTTGTTGTGCTAACTAAGCCGTCTATGCTAACGGACCTGTAGATTTCTCACGAAAGTGGGGGTCAGTGGTCCGTTGTGATTGGTCACAATCTGCGACCCGAAACACATTCTCTTCCTTGTTTCATCAAAACTCGATCTAAAATATAATGTCACGCCAGCACAAATCTGCGCTACTTTTTCTTCAAAAGGACGTATATCCCAATGCACTACATGGACATGGATAGCATTTTCATAATGAATACGAAAATAAAGTCAGTTAGTGCAGCTTTAAGAGAAAATAGTTAGGCCGAACATTATTAGTAACAATACTGACACATGGCGATGTGTAAAGAAGGCGTATCCAAGATACAAAACCATTACCAAATCCACATTTTGTCAAAACCTCGAACAGGTACTCCCATTCAACTCTGTCGAAAGCTGTTTCTGCATCAACTGATATCACAACTTCCGGCAGAGATGAAGTTTCCCTAGAGCAGCCATTCCCAAAGTCAGTAACACCAACGCTCCCTTAAAAATCTGACGGGTCTGCGCGGCCCCCCAAAATAATAACCAAGAAGACAACCTTAAAAATAGGCTCTTCTCGTTATTTTATTTGGGGGAAATAGCCTCTGCTACAAAAATGTAAATGACGCACCCCATTTTGTAATACAAAAATAATTACAATTTAATTATTCAAGTCAAATAATGAACACAAATATTTTAACATTGCAAAATTTTTTTTTATTAAACATACAATAATTATATATATATATATATATATAAAAATTTTTTAATGACTTCTTGCAGCCCCCTGCAATACCCGCGGCCCCCGCTTTGGGAAACACTGCCCTAGAGTGTATGACATCCAGCAGAGTTTGAACATTATAAAAAAGCTGACGCCCCTTTTATAAAGCCAGTTTGCTCATTCGAGACAATGTTCAGAAGAACTTTTTCTTGACGACCAGCTAGAGCCTTTGCAAGAATTTTGGTGTTCACATTCATTAGTGAGATAGGTCTATATGAAGTGCAGAGTTCAGGATCCTTGTCCTTTTTCAGCGAAAGGCTAATTGAAGCCTGTCTCAATGTAAAAGGGAGGGAACCAACTGTCAGAGATTCAGAATGAACTGAGTGCAGCAATGGAATTAATTGCTCATGAAACGCTTTAAAGAATTTGACCGGGAACCCATCTGGGCCAGGGGCCTTATTATTCTGCATATTTTGTAGGGATAATTTAAGTTCCTGATTAGTCAATGGAGAGTCTAATTGATTGGCTGTATCAGTCATCATACGTGGGAAAACGAAATAATTCAGAAATAGATGCATGTCCGACAAATCCGAAGGGAGCTCTGAACTGTATAGAGAACCATAGAGAGAAGAAAACACAGAGCTGACAAGAAATGGATCTTCCACCAGAGTTTCTGACTCATCCTTAATGCGAGGTATCAGACGTGAAGCTGCTTGTTGACGTAACTGGTGAGCTAACAGCCTTCCCAACTTGTCCCCATACTTATAATATCTAGAGTGAGAATGTAATAGCAAACGCTCTGCCTCGTCAATTGAAATGAATTTAGAGAAATAAAGTCCTTGATTGCACTTTAATCAAATTCATGAAATTTATTATCCGATAAGAGAGATGTATAACATCTCCACTGAGTGGGATAGCGGGGTCCCTGTGTGATTTGAAAGTCTAATGATAAAGGTGAGTGATCTGAAACAACTATGGGATGGTACGAAGTGTCCGTTACTTTAGATATCAACCTGGAATCTATGAAAAGAGGCCGACTATATCTAGTCTGTATCGCTCAACCTCCTCCACGAGCTTGGGCTCCTTCCCCCCCAGTGAGGTGACGTTCCACATCCCAACAGCCAGTTGCTGTGTGTTCGGATCGGGTCGCCGAGGCCCCTGCCTTCAACTACTGCCCAGTCCTCTCAACACCGCTGCCCCATGGATCCCTCTGTGGGTGGTGGGCCCACAGGAGGGCTGGTCCACGTCGTCCTTTCTGGCTGAGCCCAGCCACCAGACGCTCACTGGGTGGGGTCCCGACTGCGCCATACCAGGCGACGTCATGGGTTGTCATTATCATGCTATCCATGCTGGCTTCCGACTGCACTTTGTCTGACTCGTCTGCCATGGGAGGCCCTACCAGGGGCATGAATCCCCAGACAACATAGCTCCCAGGATCATTCAAGTACTCAAACTACCCCACCACGTTCAGATGGCCCACATTAATTTCATTGTTTCAAAAGTACTTCATTATAAATATTGTCTGTAAATCCTCCTGGGCACCTGATCCCCATGTTGTGAACTAGTAAGAGGATTAGATTTATATTCAATTTGAATTTGAATATGTTTTTCATAGTCTTGCATGGGTATGCGCATAGGCTGAAGCACAGTGAGTAGGAAGAGCTATCTGGACCAGGACCTGACCTGGCCATAGGGACATGACCACTGCCTTTTTGGATGGTGGCTTTGCTGATGGATTAAACTTCTATTTGGGTGTTCACCTTAACAAATAAACTGTACTGGTTCCACAACACCAACAAGAAGGGCCAAAGTCGCCTCCACCTTCTGAGGTGGCTAAGGTCCTTCTGAGGAGACTGATGTCCTTCCTCTTTGCCCTCACTCTGCTCCCTGGTCAGGAGGGCTGGTCCCTCTCTGATTTCTGAGGCACAGGAGGGTGTTAACCAAACTCACCTCCATCACGGACAACACCTCCCACTCACTGCACAGGACTGTAGAGGAGCTGAGGAGCTGCTTCAGTGGATGAGTGAGCTTGCACTGCTAGAGTCATTTTCTAATTATATATATAATTAGAAAATTATAATATAATTTTCTATAATTATTATATATTTCCACTTTTTTAACTGGCACATTTTCTGTCTTTTTGCACACTCTGTGATCCTATTTATACCAACTTACATGTACATTTCTCCATTGTGAGAACAATAAAGTTTCATCTCTTCAATTTCCTGCCTCATTCCATCAACTAGTTTTTCCCCACTGTATACTTTATAAACAGTACAGTCTCTTACAGTTTTATGTCTATCATAACATATATAACATTATAATACTCAAAGACATTTTGATTTTGCCAAACTTGTTGAAAGGGTTGTGTAATGCTGTGAAATGTGAACAGGAACGTGACGCCTCAGAGCCACCTGGATCTGAAGTTGTGGAGCTGTCACACGCTGAGGAAGGAGCTGCTTGGCAGTGCTACCATTGACCTCATGGACACTCTGCGCACCCACCAGGGAAAAAGTACTTTTACCTATTGCTTATTCATCATCTTCAATAAATAAGGTTATATTTTTGTTCAAATGGGGTGGAGCATTTGGTAAGGGTTCAAAAGTCTGGTCAAATCTTTTAGAAATATATCAGATTGACTCAAATTTGCTCTGTATCATAATGCGTATCATTTTCATTTAGGATGACTTTGCAAGTTGTTGTTTTACCAACACAGATCAGAAAATCAAACTGTTCAAGCACAGGAAATTTTATATTAACAAATACATTGCAGCAATTGTTCCATAGGGAGTGGGATGACCACTGTCCAGAAATGTTCCTAAATGTCCTGGATCATCATCACCATCTTTAGACATCGGCATGAAACAACTCAAAAACCCAGGGGGAAAAAGTGAAAACATTTGGGGATGCCCACATTGAGAGTGGAACCGCTTCTATTGGCTGCTCTGACCGACGCCCAAGATTCAATAGATAATTGGTTGTGAAGTAGAGTAATAAAACTAATTGTAATTGTTTTTTGATAATGACAATCATTAATTGACTCAATGGATATGCACAACAAATGTCTTGACTATTTCACTATTAAAGCAATTGTGACAAGATGAATTTAATGAAGGGGGCCATTTGTGAAATGCTGATTTATTGTGTACGTACTCGGTCCCTTTTGTCTTTGCATATCGGCCTTCATCAGTGGAAAACATCCATCTGAGTTTAGCGTTGCAGTCAGAAACCAAAGGCACAGTGGTGAATGGCGGTGAGCTCACAGTGTGTCTGGATGGTCTGGTGGTGGATCTGAGAGCCCTATGCAGCAGCAACAGCAGCACTCCACCAGACAGTGAGTATTGCATTCAATATTCTCAATCTGCGGGGTAATAATACAGATGACTCTGAATACAAATGAGCAGGGAAATACAGTGCCTTGCGAAAGTATTTGAAAGTAATTTTGCCACATTTCAGGCTTCAAACATAAAGATATAACATTTAAATTTTTTGTCATGAATCAACAAGTGGGACACAATCGTGAAGTGGAACGACATTTATTGGATAATTTAAACTTTTTTAACAAATAAAAAACTGAAAAGTGAGGCGTGCAATATTATTTGGCCCCTTTACTTTGAGTGCAGCAAACTCACTCCAGAAGTTCAGTGAGGATCTTTGAATGATCCAATGTTGTCCTAAATGACTGATGATGATAAATAGAATGCACCTGTGTGTAATCAAGTCTCCGTATAAATGCACCTGCTCTTTGATAGTCTCAGGGTTCTGTTTAAAGCGCAGAGAGAACCATGAAGACAAAGGAACACACCAGGCAGGTCCGTGATACTGTTGTGAAGTTTAAAGCCGGATTTGGATACAAAAAGATTTCCCAAGCTTTAAACATCTCAAGGAGCACTGTGCAAGCAATTATATTGAAATAGAAGGAGTATCAGACCACTGCAAATCTACCAAGACCTGGCCGTCCCTCCAAACTTTCATCTCAAACAAGGAGAAGACTGATCAGAGATGCAGCCAAGAGGCCCATGATCACTCTGGATGAACTGCAGATAACTACAGCTGAGATGGGAGAGTCTGTCCATAGGACAACAATCAGTCGTGCACTGCACAAATCTGGCCTTTATGGAAGAGTGGCAAGAAGAAAACCATTTCTCAAAGATATCCATAAAAAGTCTCGTTTAAAGTTTGCCACAAGCCACCTGGGAGACACACCAAACATGTGGAAGAAGGTGCTCTGGTCAGATGAAACCAAAATCAAACTTTTTGGCCACAATGCAAAACGATATGTTTGGCGTAAAAGCAACACAGCTCATCACCCTGAACACACCATCCCCACTGTCAAACATGGTGGTGGCAGCATCATGGTTTGGGCCTGCTTTTCTTCAGCAGGGACAGGGAAGATGGCTGGAGCCAAATACACGACCATTCTGGAAGAAAACCTGTTGGAGTCTGCAAATGACCTGAGACTGGGACGGAGATCTTCCAACAGGACAATGATCCAAAACATAAAGCCAAATCTATAATGGAATGGTTCACAAATAGACGTATCCAGGTGTTAGAATGGCCAAGTCAAAGTCCAGACCTGAATCCAATCGAGAATCTGTGGAAAGAGCTGAAGACTGCTGTTCACAAATGCTCTCCATCCAACCTCACTGAGCTCGAGCTGTTTTGCAAGGAAGAATGGGCAATAATTCCAGTCTCTCGATGTGCAAAACTGATAGACATACCCCAAGCGACTTGCAGCTGTAATTGCTGCAAAAGGTGGCGCTACAAAGTATTGGCGAATAATATTTTACGCCCCACTTTTCAGTTTTTTATTTGTTAAAAAAGTTTAAATTGTCTAATAAATTTCGTTCCACTTCACGATTGTGTCCCACTTGCCTGAAATGTGAAGCCTGAAATGTTGAAAGGTTCAAGGGGGCCGAATACTTTCGCAAGGCACTGTATATTATAACCTAGTCAAAAGCTGGAAAATGTGTATTTTGTATGTTATGTCCACTTCACAAATGCTCAATACTTAAAGGAGCAATATGTAATATTTGCATGTCAAGTCATCATTAAATGACCCGAATATTTCAAAAGGCGTTATTAAATCATACTCTTTTCGAATTCATCTTTAACTGATAACAGTAGTTCAGCCGAGATATTTGATCATCAAAATTAGTTTTACGACCCGTAAAAGTTGTTATTTTTTTGATTTTGATGTCCTACCCTCCGCCGTTTCGCCAATCAGGAAGTGTCATGTAAGTCCGTGATCGAGTTGCCAGAACTCCGCGCGGCTCATTAATCTCAGTGGTAAAATAACATGTGGCGTAGAACTAAAAAAGGTCTTGTTATGACTCTCAAATAATTAATGACAAAACAAAGACTAAAACTAGGATTTATATCGCGATGCCTTTGAACAATTGAGACAGCTGATAAAAGTTCACGTGTGATGCAGAATTTTCTAGTTTGACGCCGTTCTTCACGGTGTCTCTGTTCGTGTGAACCGGTGGCCTAGCGGTCTAAGCTGCGCGCTTACGATGCAGGAACCCGGGTTCGATTCCGGGCTATGTCCTTTTGTATTTATTGCATGTGATCACATTCTATGACAGATTGCTCTAAAAACGGTAAAAGATGAAGGTCAAGACGTTTTTTTGCAGATTATAGCTTAATTGTAAAAATAATCATTTAAGACCACATGTACCCCAATTAAAATAATGTTAGTCTCTTTTTGATGTGGGACTTTTACATGTTTGTCTAAAAAATAGGGAATAAATAAAATTGAAAGGTGATATCCTCTTGAGCAAACCCTGATGTTGATACGCTGAAGAAATACGTTCCAACATCCATTCTTCCCACTCCTATTTTGGACATCAATTTCTTATTTATTTTGCATAAACTATGTATAATTACATTGCTTTTATTTTGTTTTTGTTTTTTATCTCAAATGTCCAAATTATAATAATAAAAAAACATGAATCAAAACATTCATTCAGCATTAGCACGGCTGTCATGGCAATGTGAATGGAGACGGACAAACAACTGATAAAATAATTCCCTGTGTTTGCTGCTGGATTTGGTGTGAATCTGGCAACCTGAGTCAGGGAGAGTGGGAGAGGACTACAAAATATTGACTGTGACTGCAGTACCACTTTTGGCCAGATTTTTACATATTGCTCCTTTAATTGTCAATCTCACAACCTCCCAGTATAAAATAAAAGATAGATTGTTAGTACATGGTTGAAAAGGGGTTGGATGAAGCAGCCAGAATGTGACATAGAATGTGTGCGCATATTATTATTGTGCTCACTCGAAAAGCCGCTCTAGAGCTGGTATAATACACCGGAATGGAGGGAATTAAAGTGAGGGACTCATCTTTCACGATACCTTCTCAATATCTCCTGGCTCTTGTCCATCAGTGTTCATCTAAGTAAACTGTTGTTCCTCAGTGTTATTTAGTAAAAACCAGACTTACAATTATGCCACAAGGCCAAAGAGGCAATAAGGAAGTTATAAGACGGAGCAGCCTCATTGACACTAAGCATTCATATCCATGGGAGGTGCTATTAACTACATTTTACAGACTTGAGTCTTCACCTCATGAGAATCTACTTCACACAGATGCACTTATACACTGGTCCACTATATCAGTGTTGTGTTATACTATCCTACCCCACATATAAATAGCACTAATATACTGTACTTCCCATCTTTGCTCACATATGCTCACACCTGTGAGACTAGTGTTGTTGACAGTCAATTGTTCAGAAAAAACAATCTTCCCTACATTTGTGAACATAATGAATATATTTTCAGGTTGAAGACTCATGGTGTGTTTTGCATTGCATTTTTTGTTTGTAATTTCGATTTTGTTATATATTTCCCTGTGTTGATCATGGTGTGTATACAATGTTTAGTCAGCAGCAGAGAGAACAAAGCATACGGCTGCTGGTCCTCTTCACACAGAACAGACCTGATACAGTGGAGCTGGCACTAATGCCATGCACTTCCATACACTGTAGCTGATACTAATGCCATGCACTTGTGTTTTCAGAGGGAACCGACATTGGAGCCGACATTGGAGCCGACATTGGAGCAGACAGGGGAGCAGACAGGGGAGCAGACAGGGGAGCAGACAGGGGAGCAGACAGGGGAGCAGACAGGGGAGCAGACAGGGGAGCAGACAGGGGAGCAGACAGGGGAGCAGACAGGGGAGCAGACAGGGGAGCAGACAGGGGAGCAGACAGGGGAGCAGACAGGGGAGCAGACAGGGGAGCAGACAGGGGAGCAGACAGGGGAGCAGACAGGGGAGCAGACAGGGGAGCAGACAGGGGAGCAGACAGGGGAGCAGACAGGGGAGCCGACAGGGGAGCCGACAGCACCACTCAGATTGAGCACAGTGTGGCCTCGCAAAGCAGGTCAGCTCTTCTACGTACAGCCTCCTCCAAACTTTCATTCACCAGCCCTTTTAGGCAAATCCGTTTGTGTTATTGAAATGAGCAAATATGTGAATATAAATGAGATCCTTTTGATCCAATCCATCTTAAAGTGGATATTAGGGGATAAAGACGAATAGGATTCACCGTGTTGCAAATGGATGTGGACCAACTCAAGTCATAATCAAACAGACTGGTACTTGGCTAAAATCAACTGGTAAAGGCACCTTCTTCTGTATACTGTAGACCATGTTTTTACCAATGTTTCTGAGCTATGCTCTGCAATAAAATTTAATATAGCTGAGTTGAAAGGAGGCGACAGTAGCTCAGTTGGTAGAGCATTGGCCTTCAGGCCTGAAGGTCGTTGGTTCAATTCCCACCTCTGCACCTTCTCCACTGACTTCCACTGATGACTGCTGTCGTTGTGTCCTTGGGCAAGACACTTAACCCCACTTTGCCCAAAGCCCCCGCTGAAAGATCAAGGCTATGCTCACACTCAGAGAGCAGCCGTCCTCCTGTGGACTCACCACCTGCAGAGGATCAGTGAGGGGCTGGTGCTATGAGACTTGGGTGGCATCTCTGATTGCCACCCCCCTAACCCAGAAATGGATTAAAGGGTTGAAAATGGATTGATGGATGGATGAGTTGAAAGGCAAAGCTCTCGTTTAAAGCTTTTTTTTTTTTTTTTTTTTTTTAAATGAACAATTTCATGTACAGTGCCTTGCGAAAGTATTCGGCCCCCTTGAACCTTTCAACATTTCGCCACATTTCAGGCTTCAAACATAAAGATATAAAAAAAATTATTATCAACAACAAATGGGACACAATCGTGAAGTGGAACGAAATTTATTGGATAATTTAAACTTTTTTAAGAAATAAAAAACTGAAAAGTGGGGCGTGCAATATTATTCGGCCCCTTTACTTTCAGTGCAGCAAACTCACTCCAGAAGTTCAGTGAGGATCTTTGAATGATCCAATGTTGTCCTAAATGACTGATGATGATAAATAGAATGCACCTGTGTGTAATCAAGTCTCCGTATAAATGCACCTGCTCTTTGATAGTCTCAGGGTTCTGTTTAAAGCGCAGAGAGAACCATGAAGACAAAGGAACACACCAGGCAGGTCCGAGATACTGTTGTGGAGAAGTTTAAAGCCGGATTTGGATACAAAAAGATTTCCCAAGCTTTAAACATCTCAAGGAGCACTGTGCAAGCAATTATATTGAAATGGAAGGAGTATCAGACCACTGCAAATCTACCAAGACCCGGCCGTCCCTCCAAACTTTCATCTCAAACAAGGAGAAGACTGATCAGAGATGCAGCCAAGAGGCCCATGATCACTCTGGATGAACTGCAGATAACTACAGCTGAGGTGGGAGAGTCTGTCCATAGGACAACAATCAGTCGTGCACTGCACGGTGGCTGAGTGGATAGCACTCTCGCCTCTCAGCAAGAAGGTCCTGGGTTCGAATCCCGGTTAGACCAGGGCCTTTCTGAGTGGAGTTTGCATGTTCTCCCCGTGTCTGCGTAGGTTTCCTCCGGGTGCTCCGGTTTCCCCTACCACTAAAAATATGTACAATAGGTCTGGCATGTGCCTCCTGTCCACCCCCACTCCAAAAAATCACAATTGTAAACCGCTTTGAGACTCCAATGTGCAGTGAAAAGGCGGTATATATTAATAAAGATTACTATTACTACTAAAGATTACTACCACATGAACAGTCACTGCTTCGCTTTGTGGATCAATTGTGACGGTGTGTCGAAGCATTTCATTGGCTTAATAAGTTTCCCAGCTTCACTTGGTGCAGAACGTTAAGGGCCGTTTACACCGAACCATGCGTTGCGTCCAGTTTCAAAGTCAATGACAGTCTATGGCAGATGTGGGAAAAATACGGTTTCCCTTTGCGGGCCATATTTTGCCCATGTCTGCCATAGAATGTCTGGCCCATTGCTCATTTTTCACAAAAAGGATTTTTTTTTTTCTGGCATTTTCTGTACTGCTTTTTATGCTCAAATCTGGGAACATCTCACACGTTCATAAATCCCATGTTGGATCTTGCGTATTTGGAATCTACACCCAAAATATACACCCTTTTCTGCGAAAGTTTGAACAATGAGGCCCAATGATATAGGAATGGCTGCTTGTTTGGAGCAAAAAAACAATATTAATTTTCTTTTGGCACGTTCACTAATAACAGACAATGAATCGCATATGTCACAAAAGAGAAAAAGTCCATTGTCAAATATCTTGTCAAGACAATTATATTGAAGGCTATATTTTTAAAATATATTGCAACTAAATATTATGTAAATGTTGGTTACAATTTTTGACCTGGTCCTCCACAACATTTTTTTTCTCCTGCAGCCCCTTTAGAAAATAGTTGCCCACCCCTGCACTAGTATGTCCTTGAAACAGTGCAACTGTCACCACCTAGCTTTACTACGATATATAATGAATAATAATATAAAATGCATTTTCTGTGGGCCCCCTGGCTGAAAGCCAACGGGTAAGCCCGTTTAAATGTGTAAACAAAATTTTGTAAAAAATATGTCTGGCCCTTGACAGCTGGCTAATATTCCAATGTGGCCCTCCAAAGGAAAAAAGTAACACAAACAGTAACACAAAAGTAACGTAATAAAGAGAGTAAAGAGAAAAGTTACTTTTTAATAAGTAGTTTCCTCAACATTGTTGGTGACATTCAAAGCTTTGCGAAGCGGCCAAACCATTTGACGATTCATTGAGGTGCTTCACAGACATGGATGTATGTTGTTATTATACAGTTGATCCATGCATGGCTGTAGTTCAGAAAGTGCATCGCTTTGACAGGTTGCTTTGTGATCCGCGGCTGTACCTGTCTGTCCCAATTCTGGGACTGGCCCAAAGTGATTATCATTGTTACTGACCATTCGTCTATGTTGGCAGGACTGAGCGTGTGTGTGCAGTGGTGTCCCAGCCCTGTCCAGTGGAATCTGTGATGACCGGAGATCTACCTGAAGAGCCACTGCTCCCCCAGCTCAGCCAGTCCAAGAGCTGCAGCCCAGCAGGCAGCACAGGTATAGCCAAGAGCTGCAACCCAGCAGGCATCACAGGTATAGCTGCGTCCTTCTGATCTGCCTGTGTCTAATTCGTCTCATAATGAGAGGTTCTCAAATTCTTTTACGTCCCAAGTATAACAGTCATGTCTATCGTTTGTCAACAATGTAAACTACTGTTCATCAGTGTCATTTAGGTTGTGTTCAGACTGCAGCCCAAAGTGAAACATTAAAATGCTTTTATGAGACTTGAATCTGATCTGCTTTTGAACAAAGTTCAGATGTTCTCACATGTGACCCAGACCATTTGGATAAGTGCTATGTAATCCGCCTGAACTGCTAGCTCACTTTCATCCAACCTGCATGTGGTTTCATTGAACAACTGTTTGTTTTTTGGGATAATATCCCTTTGATTGCCTGCTGGCTAAAGGTGGTAAAGTAAAATATTCTTTAATTTTTTTGGTGTGGACATAAATATGTGTAATATGGTAGCTTCTATATTATATTCATTTAATAAACGCGTTAACCTTCACCTACTCTGTCCAGAAAGTTGTATACCCCATGATTTCCCGTTAAATGTTCTAACCCGGAGTGCTGGTAGAGAACAGGTGAGAGCTGCATCTTCATTTCCCAAAATTCCCAGGGGAAAGGAGATGCATCTGTCCGGAGCCACCAGTGAAAACACCCCATACATGGAGTTCTCAAGCTTTTTGAGTTTGGAGCAGATCCATTCATTTACAGTGGGGCAAAAAGGTATTTCAGAATCAGAATAATTTTTATTGCCACAGGATGTCACAGACTTGGACATTTCTTTGGCTCAGTGCAATAGTCATAGAGAGATAATTAAGAATAAAGAATAAAAAACACTTCTAAGGAATACAATTACTATTTACAATATACAAGTGCACATGGTGCACACAATGTAAGGTGACAGCAGTACAGTGAAGTAAAGTGACGTATGATGGGCAGTAAAGTGACTTTATAAAGGGCGGGGGGACAGGTTAAGCTTTAAGCTTTATTTATATACCGCCTTTCACAGACCAGAGCCACAAAGCGGTTTACAATTGTTATTTTTTGGGCACTTGTCCTCTCACTCCACACAGAGATGGGAGCGGGGTCGCCGAACAGGAGGCGCATGCCAGACCTATTGTACATATTTTTAGTGGTAGGGGAAATCGGAGTACCCGGAGGAAACCTACGCAGACACGGGGAGAACATGCAAACTCCACTCAGAAAGGCCCTGGTCTGGCCGGGATTCGAACCCAGGACCTTCTTGCTGAGAGGCGAGAGTGCTATCCACTCAGCCACCGTGCCGCCCGTTACGTTAAGAAGTGTTCAAGAGTCCAACAGCAGAGGGGAAGAAACTGTTCTTGTGGCGGGAGGTTCTAGTCCTGATGGACCGCAGCCTCCTGCCTGAGGGGAGTGGTTGGTAGCATAAGATCAGTGATCCAGTGGGAATGTGTAGGAGAGGACTCATCTTTCCATTTAAAAAGAATAAGACGTCGTGCCATCAAAGAGGCAAAGGCCACAGCACGCAAGGAGTAATTTGGGATAGTTACTCCAGGAGGCATCACCCCAAAGAGCGCAGTCAGAGCATTGGGTACAACTCTGATGCTGTAAGCCTCTGAAAGAGTTTTAAAAATAGATGTCCAATAATTATAAATGTTAGGGCATGACCAAAAGGTATGTATGAGTGAACCAACATCAGACTTGCAACAATTACACAAAGGATCTGTGCCCGGATAAAATTTAGCTATTTTCTCCTTAGAAAGGTGTAATCGGTGGAGGACCTTAAATTGAAGAAGCCCATGCCTGGCACAAATAGAAGAGGAGTGCACTCCTCGAAGCATGGCCCCCCAGAGCTCATCTGTTACGTTTAGTGCTAGATCCTTTTCCCAATGTGATTTAATAATAGTCAAAGATGGAGACTGTATATCAAACAAAATATGATAAATTTTTCGAATGCTTCCCTTTTTAGAAACATTTACATCTAGTATTTCGTCTATAGCTGAAGCTACTGGTAGATTAGGAAAGGAGGGGTATTTGTTTTTCATAAAATGACGTAACTGCAGATAACGAAAAAAATGTGTTTTAGGTATATTTAGGCCTGTCACGATAACAAATTTTGCTGGACGATTAATTGTCTCAGAAATTATTGCGATAAGCGATTATATTGTCGTTCTGAGATCATTTGCATCGATTACAATGATAATGCAGGTACACCTTTTCAAAGAGAAATAAACTTTTATTTTTAACGAATATTTAACGCTAGAACACAATAAATTAACAAACCAAAAACAATAAAGAAAATAGACTCAGTCTCTTAACAAAAAATGACCAGGAATAAAACTGCCAGGACCTTTGTAAAGAAAATATGAAACAGATGCCTCAAATGTCAATAATTTCTCAGACTTTATGGCAGATTAAGAGAAAGAAATACCAACATGTTGACTTTGTGTGGCTTAAGACAGGATCTCTCAGGAGTAGTCCCACCTCCCCACACACCAGGCGAATGACAAGTGACTGACATGTGGGTTTACCAATGGGGCGTACAGAAGTCCTGCTGCGGTAGTGCCCACCGGAAGTAGCGGGGCGGGCTTTGATGCTAACAGCTAAGCTAGCGGGTTTTTTGTGTAAAGTTCTACTCCAAGAATGCAAGTCTGCAGCATCTCTGTGTTCAGAGACCTTCTAGAGACTTTATATAACAGCAGTATGTGTTCACGGAGGTGCGCAATAAGTTTATTTTATTGGTATGGTACGGTACTTCTGCATCGGCGAACACGCTAACGCTAGCTGCGCTAGTATAGTCACTAATCAAGCCTGAATGAGAACTCAGCTGCCGGCATATGTTCACAACTACTGTGTCCCTCATTGTCAATCCTGGTTAAGTCCTGGTTTAGGTCCTGTTTTGGCTGTGTTTTGTATTTTTGAGTAATTTCTGTCTGCTTGCTAGACCGCTAGTGTTCCCGTGACCACTTTGCGGCTCTCTGTCGAGAGAGACGGGGGAAACAAACAAGCATGCAAATGGGATTTATCGCGGCCAGAAAAGTTATTGAGCAAATTTTATTTATCGTGCGATTAATTGATTTGACTATCGCGACAGGCCTAGGTATATTAAAATTTTCGGTTAGTTGCAAGAATGAGGCAAAAACATTATCAATAAAAAGATCTTTAAAGGTGTGTAACCCTTTGTTGTTCCAAATCTTAAAAGCCGAGTCCACCATGGACGGTGGAAATGCATGGTTTGAATACAAAGGAGCCTTTATTGACATAGTATGCAGGCCAAATTTTTTCCTACACTGTACCAATATTCTCAGCGAATCATAAAGCAGGGGGTTACGTTTGAAATGGTGAATATCTAAAGGGAGTGATGTTGTTAACAATGCTGGCAGAGAGGTATTTCCACAATAATTTTTCTCAATATTAACCCAAGAGGGAGCCACATCCTTAGTCCAATACAGCATATTTCGTGTATTTGCTGCCCAGTAATAGTACTGAAAATTTGTCAGGGCTAAACCACCTAATGATCTCGGTCTTTACATAAATTCTTTGCGGATTCGTGGAGGTTTACCATTCCATATGTAAGTTGAGATAAGTTTATCAAGAGAAACAAAAAACTTTTTTGGTAGGTAAAGTGGGATACATTGAAAAAGGTACAAAAAATTTGGCAGAATAGTCATTTTAACAGAGTTGACACGCCCTAACTTAATGGTAAGTTATTCCATCTTTGTATGTCAGTTTTCATTTTCTCAACAAGTGACATGAAATTAGTTTCATATAATAATTTAAAATCTTGAGTTACTTTAACACCTAGGTATGTTATAAAGTCTGTTTTAACTTTGAAGTTGAAATTAGAAAATGAAATTTCTTTAGCCTTTAAGTTAATTCCAAGTAATTCACTTTTATGCATATTCAATTTATAACCAGAAATGCGGCCAAAATCATCAAAAATGGTAAAAGCATGGGGGAGAGAGCTCAAGGGATTTGATATGTACAATAATAAGTCGTCTGCATATAAAGACAGTTTATGTTCTTGTCCTGCCCTACTAACCCCCTTAACTTTTTTATCCGCCAGGGGTTCTATTGATAAAGCAAACAAAAATGGGGATAAAGGACAACCCTGTCTTGTACCACGGTGGAGTGGGAAATACGGAGAACATAAGGAGTTTGTTCGTACTCGAGCCATAGGTGAAGAATAAAGCAAGCGCATCCAGGATATGAATTTGAGGCCAAAGCCAAATTGATCAAGAATATAAAATAAATAGTCCCACTCCACCCGGTCAAACGCTTTCTCAGCATCAAGTGACAGGGCTACCTCCGGAGTTGTGTTTGAATGTGTACATAAAATATTGAAAAACCTACGCAAATTAAAGAAACCTTGCCTTCCTTTGACAAGTAAGTAATTATCAAGGCAAAGAGCAAGTAATTTGGATAAAATCTTGAAGTCTACATTTAACAATGATATAGGTCTAAAGGAAGAACATTCCAGTGGGTCCTAATTTGGTTTCAGCAGTAGTGAGATGCTGGCTTGTCGGAGAGTGGGCGGAAGGGTTGATTTATCGAGGGACTCTATGTACATATTCCTCAATAAGGGAGAAAGAATGTCTTTAAAAGTTTTAAAAAATTCAACAGGATAACCATCCGGCCCCGGTGATTTTGAACTTTGCATAGCACTGATTGATAATTTAACCTCCCCAATTGATATTGACTCCTCTAATTTATCTTTAAAAACTGGCTCAAAGGTAGGAATTGCTAAGTTTTCAAAAAAATTATCGAATAGCTCTTACGTTGTTTGTACAACTCTGGGGTAGGTGTCAAGGAATGTTGAGAATCTAATTTAGCAATTTGTCCCGTCAACTTTGAAATACGATTTTGTTTCTGCTTTTTATTATATGAACAGAAAGAAATGATCTGTCCTCGCAGAAATGCTTTTAAACTTTCCCAAACAGTACTATATGCCATACCGGGGGTTAAATTTGACTCTAGAAAAATATTGATTTGTTCACCAACATATTCCACAA